GTATTGATTCCAGGGTCTCATGCATACCAGAGCTAAAGAACTGCTTAGTCTTTTAAGCTGCTAAATTTTGGTGGGCTGTGTTAGGAATTGAACCCAGGGCCTCATGCATGCTAGATAAGCACCCTACCACTGAACCACATTTCTAACTCATTTTAGTGGGTTTGTTATGCTTGATACTGTTAACAAGTGGCAGAGGATCCGGGACTTGAACAGTAACCATTTGATCATTTGATTTCAATGCCAGTGAATATTTTATTAAGGGAAAATAAGTTTTTCCTTGATTATATGCATCTATTTATATAGATATTTCTCAAAGTGAGGCCTGCAGTTTGCTTACATGAAGATTACCAGGGGGCCAGGGCTGTGGCTCAATGGAAAAGAGTCTTTGCCTGGCATGTGTGGAGCAAGGTTCAATCCTCAGCAGTAGCACATAAAAATAAATAAAATACCTGTAATCCCAGTGGCTGGGAAGGAGGAGGCAGAGGATAATGAGTTCAAAGCTGCCTCAGCAAAAGCAAAAGGCTAAGCAACACAGTCAGACTGTGTCTCTAAATAAAATACAAAATAGGGTTGAGGATGTGGCTCAGTGGTTGAGTGCCTCTGAGTTTAATCCCCAGTACCAACCCCCCAAATATAAATAAACAAGTATTCTATCTATCTATACCAACAAAAACAACAACAACAAAAATTTAAAAAAAGATTATCAGCTGTTGGGGCTGCCATTATAGCTCAGTGGTAGAGCACTTGTCTAGCACATGTGAGCATCACATAAAAATAAATAAATAAAGGTATTGTGTCCATCTACAACTAAAAAAAAAAATAACTTTAAAAAAGATTATCAGCTGCATGTCAATTGTGGATTCACCATCTTATCCCAGACTCACTGAATTTGACTCTTCCAGGGGTGGAGTCTCAGAATTATTCTTAAACAAAATTCCCTAGTGATTTTCATGGATGTTAAAATGAAGGATTACTACTTCTGTTCCTCAGCTAAAATTTTCAACACAATGAATCATATTTTCTCACTGTAGTAATGTTTTCTAGTTGTGTGTTCTTCTAGGGTTATTTATGACCTAAGATTTTGCCAAAAAATATATACTGCCACCTTTTTTTCAGACCTGCATGGTGTTGACACGTCCACTAAATGTCTGGTAGAAAGAGTTACCTAGCAATGAGTGAATGAATTGAGATAACAGGATGGTGAAATAGTGTATCAGAAGCTGGGTACAGTGGCTCATGCCTGTAACCCAGATGCTCAGGAGCCTGAGGCAGGAGGATTGCAAGTTCAAAGTCACCCTCAGCAAGCCTCAGTCAGCCTTAGCGAGGCTCTAAAAACTAAGCCAAACCCTGTCTCAAAATAAAATATTAAAAGGACTGGGGATATGATTCAGTGGTTAAGCACCCCTGGGTTCAATCCCTGTTATTTTATATATATATATAAACACATACATACACACACATACATATACACACATATACATACGTATACATACATATACGTACATGGAGAGAGAGGAGAGCGAATATGAATCAGAGTGTTACTCCTTGGATTAAAACTGGGAAATGACTTTTTTCTCTGTATTTTTCTTGTTCTATAGTTCTATATGTAGCCCAATGTCAGATGTAGAAAAAGGGGAGAAGTGGAATAGGGAGGGCATTTCACAAGTAGCAGAATATAGACTTGTTTTTTACTGTTGTTACCAAGAACATTGTTATTTTTACAGAGCAAGTACTAAGAGGAACAGGAAAGGACTTGACCCGAGATTGACTTTTAAAGCTTGTTCAGCCTGAACTACCCTTAGCAGGAACATTTTTGTTCATCTTCTGAAGTAGCCATTAGAGAAAATGGTAGGACCACTTCACTAGGGATGAAGTCTCAAGTTCACCTAACTATAGTTAAAAGTTTAAAGTGTCTTAGTTTGATGTCTTTTTGACTGGTCTGTTTCATGGCATTCTTTATATATATAATTTTTTTCACAAAAGGTAGAAAAGGAAAAATAATAACAGAAGGAAACTACTACAAAAAGTGCTGCTGGAAGCCTGTTCTTCAGATGATACCAGCACTTAGAACTTTTTATTCAAAGCTCTTTATTTCCTATAAACATATATTTTTTTTTCACTGTTCCAAAGGTAGAAGAGGCACTAAAGAGCAAAGTGCTGTGCTTTTTAAAACCTGCTGATCGACTTCTCATCTCTAACAGTACTGAAGTTTTGCCAGACCGGTTTATGTATGACAAACCACAAAACATATGCATAAGAAATGCAAACTCTTTTAACTGAGCTAATCCCAGGGTAAAAACTTACTTCTGGAGCAACGCAGCTGTTAAAATCAGTCATATTTACAATTTTTATAAATGAGTTTATTTTAATAAAAACAAGTCACTCAGTGAGCATGATCTTTAAACAGATTTATGTGGGCTGGCACAATCTGCTATGCTAAACATATATGCATATTGCTTAAGTCTGCAACTGGATTTTTCAAGTGGTAACAGTCTTGCTTTGTACAAGGATACTAAGTAATTGGCAGCACTCCAGCTAAGGACACTGTTCTCAGCACTGTGCTATTGAAATAGTTTTCCTGGACAGAATTGCCCTGTGGCAATTGGGAGGATTCTGGGTTGCTGGCATTGAGCAGTGAACCAGGCAGACAGCTTATAGAGAGTAGGAGACCATAAACTCTATAAAGAGGAGGAAAAGTAGAAGAAGAAAAGGATGGGAAGAGAGCAGGAAGGGAAGGAAAAGAGAAAAGTGAAGCTGATTTTCATCAGGCCTATCTAAAGGGTTTCTTTATCTTTGCTGGATCTCTTCTCACCTTTCACACTTTCATGCTCACGTGTTTTGCTCAGCTACTAGATTATAAGCTCTTGGAAAACAGGAATACAGTCATCTTTCCAATTTCATTGGCTTCATATCTGTGATTCAACCAATCACAATCCAGAAAAAGAAAAGGGCATCTGTACTGAACATTCCCAATTTTCTTCTTGTCATTATTGCCCAAATGATATAGTCTATTTGCATAGAATTTTCATTGTACTAGATATTATAAATAACCTAGAGATGATTTAAAGCATGGTGAGGATCTGGGTGGATCATATGCAAATACCATGCCATTTTACATAAGGCACTTGAGCATTGTTGAGATTTTGATCTCTTCAAAGGTTGTAGAACTAATCTCCTGCTAAACTGAGCTTTACTCTCCCACAGTACCTGACATACATGATGCTAAAATCTGAGTGGCTAATTGCATAAATAAAAGAAAAAATTTATGTATTTGAAGTGTTTTCTTATCTTACCTCAGAGTAAGCCCTAAGTATAGGTTATGGGGTGCAGTACTGTCTCTAAGGGGTGTACTGAAATTTTGTGGGGGCAGTTTTTGTCTTTGTAGTTCTCTTATCTGGTGCCCAAAGCATTTACATTACGAAAAACCTATTATTGAGTTATTTTTTTTAAATTGATATCAGTACAGCATTTTACTAAAAACTACTTTGGTTTTTTTGTCTTTATATGATTAGAACATTATACTGATTTCTTAAAATTATTTGTATAAGTAGTTTATATTATGAATTTAATTCCAGGAGAGTGAAGTGGTGTTAAAATTCAAAATTCTTTTTAAGTACAGGGCTTAGCAGGGCAGGATTGAGCTCTTCTGACTAAAAGATCATTAAGCTCTAGCATACGAAGTTTTTAGGATTCTAAGATGCAACCTACAAGAAGCTGGTGTACATTGATTTCAACAATCAGGCTTTCACTTTAAGTAACTGCATATTTGAGGATTAATGTGGCTCAGTGGAGCGCTGCTGTCAAAGCACAAAGGGTCCACGACTGGGATGGGGGTGGGGAAGAACATCGAGGCGCCAAAGAGCTCTCACGCGTCCGGACCGTGAATGTGCGCGTGAATGTGCGCCGAGTTGCCTGGAGGGTGAGTCGTTTCTTTTTGCTTTGGTTTGTATTCTTCATTTTAACAATGATGGGGTGGGGGGAAGGCTGAAGGGAAGGGGAGGGGCGGTGACGCCGTCCGGTTTTCCCGAAAGCCTGGGTCCTCAGCTGGTCCGCTGCGGGGCTGGTTCACACTGAGGCAGTGGGATTTGAAGACCAGGGCTTGGGCAGAACCCTCCAGAAGAGCTCATGAGGGGTAGCAGTGCTTTTGAGGTGCAGAAGGAGCAGAGAAAGACTTCGTCTCGCAGGACGATTTAAAGTGAGGTTGGACTGAACTTTTGGCGTCAACGGTTGCAGCTGCGGCTCATGGTGGACTGGGGGCGAGAAGAGGTGGAGCTGCAGCTGACCCGGGGCGCGGGACTATTGATAGCGGGTAGGGCGTGCGGCTGGAATCTAGACGGGCCCCAGAAAGGCGGGGTTTCTAGTGACAGTAGGCGGGGCTTCTGCAGAAGGGCGTGGCTTGGTATTCCGGCCACCAGGACAGGGTGTTTGCAGTGACAGGGGCATTTCAGAGGAAGACAGCGTGCCCACCGGTCTCATGGCCTGACCATCGCCTTAGGAGGGCGGAGCGCCCCGAAGGCAGGGCTGCCTTCTGGCCCGAGAAGGCACCGGCTTCTGACGATAGCGGGCGGAGCTAGCGCCGGCAAGGGGCGGGGCCGCTTTGAAAGCGGGGAAGGCGGGGCTTATGTTGACAGGGGGGCGGGGCAGTTCCCTACCTCCAGCGGCTCTTCTATGCTGGAGAGTGGCCGGGGTCGGATCCCAGGGGAGCCGCAGGGTCCAGGCGTGGGCAGCCTGGCTCAGCGCGGGGTTGGGGCGCACGGAGGGCCCCGCCTCGGCCAGCTCACTCCCCTTCCCTCCGCCCCGGCTAGCCACTGGGGCGCGCGTCTCTCCTGGCACCCCTACCCCGGGTCCCCGCTCTCTGCTTGGCCGCCGAGCTCCGAGGCCCCTGTACGGGACCGCGGAGTGGTTCCGGGTTTAGGGTTCACAGGTCAGAGTTGACTCCCTGAAAAGTGCAGCCGGTTTGAAATGCAAGATGGCGGCGGCGGGGTTCTGAGAGGCGCGGCGGCCCCTGCAGGTAGCTGCGCGAGCCGGCTCCGCGACGCGGGCCCTGACGCCCCGGTCTGCGAGTGGCAAGGGAGCGCCGAGCCCGCGGCCCGCAGGCAAAGAGGAGCGGCGCGGGGGCCGGCCGGAGGAGGGCAGCCCCGGGGCAGAGACTCGGGGCTGAGCCCGCCCGAGGCAGCCGGTGGCGGGGCGGCCCCGACGCGGGGCGTCTGAGGGGGAGGGACCTGGCCTGCCCTGCGGCTGGGGAGCTGCGGCGGAGGGACAGACCCAGAGCTCCTTCGCGCTCGGGATTTCTGCAGCGGGGAAGGAGCTTGGGGGCGGGGGCGCTGGGAAGGAAAAATCTCAGCCCCTTCCTTGGGAGAGGTCTGAACAACTTGGGGTTGTTGAGGAGAGTGGGGATTGGGTCCGCCTGCTCGAGGACGCTGGCAGTTTTGCGGGTCCTGCGGTGGGGGTTTCAGGAGTGCTGCCCTCGGGGACGTGTGGCCACCTCGTGGGGACCCAGCTTCCCTGAAAGTAAAGAGATTCTCCTGCTGGAACTGAGCGCACTGGCTTTGGGGTGGGATCCCCAGGAGACCCTTGGAAGGAAGGCTGGGCACCCATTTCGGGGCCAGGCCGCGCCCCCACTTCGGAAAGGACTCGGAGCTGAGTCCTTAACAACTATATTACCATTTTGAGGAAACCCTGAGATTTAGGAGATAAGTTAATTAAAGAGCATGGAAATGCCATCTATCCCTATCAGCCGGCGTATGAGGGGATGGGGCGCAGACCCAGAGGAGTCTCTCAATCTTTGAGGCCTAAAGGGAACGACCTGGTGATTGCGTGAGGGGGACCTGAAGACTGGGAAGGGGAAATTAGAGGAACTGCGTCTAGTAGCCGGAAAGTAGAGTCTGGCAGATGCCCTTTCCCCATGTATTTACACCAAAGGTCCAAGGGGACTTGAAATTCTTTGTTTCAGTATGTTTCCCCCTCTTCTTCCCTCCCTGGACAGCGGTAAGGAAAGAGCAAAAAGCCCGGAGAAAGAAAAGATTCCGTTTGATATGTTTAGCTTAGTTTAGCGAGCAATCAAGCCTCTGGGAAGGCATCAGCGAGACCCAGGGCAGGGGAATTAGGAAGTGAGAACTGGGACGGTAGGATAGGAATGCAGGGAAGAGGTTGGGTAGAGCAGAAATTCCACAGCAAGTTTCGGTCATCAGCCCAGCTTTCTAAAAAGACAGACAGATGAGAAGAGCTTCACGTTCAGAGAAAAATGTTAAAAAGGCTGATAGGGAACTTGTGATGTGATCAAGTTGAGGTTTAATGTAACTTGATAAATTCTCTTGGAGGGTAATATTATAGAAAAAAAAAAGGAAAATCACAAGATGAAATGTACAGTAGTTCACAGTTAGGATGAAGCAGCCCCCCCCCCATCCCAGGAATAGTGACTGTTTTGGACTGGAATTTGTGTGTGTGTGTGTGTGTGTGTGTGTAAGTGTACCTTTACATTTGTTGATGTTGGTCATTATTTCTATCTTTGTCTAAAAGCTTTTAGTTTTGTTATATGGTGCTATATGAATTATCTTTGTTTCTGAAAAAATTGCCCTCAAAAAGTCATTTGTTTGGGGGGCTGGGGCTTTAGCTCAGTGGCAGAGCACTTGCCTAGGACGGATGAGGCATTGGATTCGATACCCAGCACCACATAAAAAAAGAATAAATAAAATAAAGTCATAAAAACATATATTTTAAAAAAGTCATTTCTTTTTAAGCTTGTAGTGAAAATTAAAAAGTTGGTTTTAACGGGGATATTGGCACTAGAATATTCATAGATTATTTTAATTTCTAAAATAGCAATTGTGACTCCTGATCTTAAGCAAAAGAATTGAGAATGCTGCCAACGACAATACAGCAGTAACAGGTCAGAAAAAGAAAGGCTTTCATGATATTTTTTTCCTTTTAGTTTTTCTCTCCTTCCTCTAAGCATTTTAGGGTTATGCAGACTAATTTTAAGCAAATAAAATGTCTAACCTTGAATCCTTTCAATATAAAAATGATTGCATTGATGATTTTTTATAGAAGTATGTCTTCACATGATTTATTTAACAGTTGTAATTAAAATGAGAAAAAAATTAAAGTAAGACTTGGGTAACTGATGATAGAGTTATGATTCATACAGATTTCTTGAGCCATTCTTGCATTTTCAAAAGAGCTTTAATGTCTTTAATGGAAATGTTTTAAAGATACAGTATAAACTAGTTCTGAGCTTCACATTTGGAACATTAGTATACATGTGTGCTGTTCTTTGGTTTCCCCAAAGTGCATGTAACTCTAGTTTTATATTCAATTCTGAACAGATTAGCCTGGGTGAACCAGAGAGGCACTGATGCCAGATGGTTTGAAAATATGCTAAGGCTGAAAACATAACAGTGCCTGTGTGGTAGATGCTCGTTAGTAGATTTATTCCCCTTATAGCTGAGCTTATTATTTCACTAAATTTGGAGGGTAGGTCATGAATGAGGTAGCAGTGATTTTACCTTTAATGGTCCTTGTAAGTTCTTTTTTTCAATAAACATGAATAATATTTTACAGTTATTAATGAAATTAATAGCATGTGTGTGGTGGTAAATCTTGCATAGTTTCTCCTTTTTATATTTCACAGTAAATTGAAAAGGTATGATATATTATATATTTTCTTTCTTACATTGAGCATAAAATGTGATATTTGGACTTAGCTTGCCATAAATTCTGGCTTAATATTTAAAGTACTTTTAAAATAATGAAATCGATCACAAATGTAGTTGAAAAGTAACCTTTTTATTTATGTTGCAGCATTATGGATTTGGGCTCAAAAGACCATTATTTTAATTTTAACACTATTGAAAGTTAAATACCTAAGCAAGTTTTTAATCTAGTATAGTCAATGCAATCATTCAGAGAGCTGTCTAGAATTAACTATTGTACTGCTCATAGTAATAGCCCATATTGCCTATTTTTAAGACATCTGTTTACTCATTTATATTATGGCAAGCATATTTAATTTGAAGTCTAAATTTTGTAACAAAATTCTTTTAAATTATACTATATATGTCAAAAGTAATTTAAATTTATTTTAGAAAACTGATTATTACCCTTTGAATAACAGCCAGTGTTTCTGTAATATCACTGAAATGTATTATTGGATCTTTGTTGCTCTGGTATATCTATAGTTGTGAGTAACCATATTTGCATAATGAAGTTGGTGATTTAGATTACTAGTCAGGATATTAATTTGAGTTGACATTTTGGAGATAGGCATTTTATACAATTTATTTTAAAAGTAAATTTTTTTACCAGCTTTTGGGCTTAAAAGATACTTAATCTTGGCATTTTATATAAGCAGTATTTTTTTAATTTTTTATTTTTGGTGCTGGGGATTGAACCCAGGTCCTTATGCCTGTGAGGTAAGCACTCTACCAATTGAGCTATATCTCCAGCCCTCCATAATGAATTTAAGAAGCACAAAGATATGCACACACACATTAAGCTATATAATCGATGCATATATATCTTTGGCCTACACAAATACAATGATAAACTTTGGAAAAGCATACATAAGCAATTTCAGAATAAAATTTATTTAAGGGAGTCAACTGAATAAATCTTTTTTGAGGGGCAATATTGAATTGAATATCAAACCTAAGGGTACTCTACCACTGAAATTACATCCTCAGTTCTTTTTATTTTTTGAGACAAGGGCTCACTAAGTTGCTGAGGCTGATCTCGAACTTGTGATCCTCCTGCTTTAACCTCTCAAATTGCTGGGATTAAAGGCATGTGCTACCATGCCTAACTTAATAAGTCATTTTTTTTAAGAGAGAGTGAGAGAGAGAGGGGGACAGAGAGAGAGAGAATTTTAACATTTATTTATTTTTTCTTAGTTCTCGGCGGACACATCTTCGTTTGTATGTGGTGCTGAGGATCGAACCCGGGCCCCATGCACATTAGGCAAGCACGCTACCACTTGAGCCACATCCCCAGCCCCAATAAGTCATTTTTAATGCAGGATTTTTATGAAGTTTTTAGATTTAAAAAATTTTTATCTACCAAAATTAAAATATTGTCATAGCCATATCATATGCATTTATCATTTTGAGTAAAATATCTGTCATTACATTTTGGTGATTTTTTCTTCTTCCTAGAGATCTTTCCCGTTTCTATTTGTTGTGAGAAATGAAAAGAAATGGGAGGTTTGATGTTTCTGAGCACTTCATTTAGAATTATGTTTTTCTTCTATTCCAGTGTCTTCCCTTTTACAGCCAAGTAGAAGCCAAGTAGAAGTTTGTTAGAACTTCACTGGGCATGGGCTTGGGAGTATGAGGGTTGATGAGAAAAGAACAATTTCTCTTCATTACTATAAGATTATTTATATCAGAGATTTGTTTTAAGAAATACCTGTTAAAATGGTTCAAAATTGTTCATTTTGAAACTAAGGTGTGTGTGTGTGTGTGTGTGTGTGAAAGAGAGAGAGAGAGAGAGAGTGGGGAGAGAGAAGATATTAAATTATCATTGATTAATGTCTACCTGTTAAAGCTAACTTGTTCCAGAATTATTTAATATGCTCAAAGGTATGAAATGGAAAACAAAATGTATTGGTTGATATTTACTCAGATTTTAAAATATTTTACAGTTTGTCAACACTTGGCAAATTTTTAACAAAGAATTCCTTTGTTATGTAACTTGAAGTTAAAACCTTAAATAAAATCAGAAAAATCTAACACTTGTTTTTGTTCTTACTAAGTACCAGGAAATATTCTAAAAACTTTACATGTGTTATTTCTTTCAATCCTCACAAAGCTTTATTAACTAAATAAAGCTATTTGGGATGGGGTTGTGGCTCAGCAGTAGAACGCTTGCCTAACACAGGGGAAGCCCTGGGTTCAATCCTCAGCACCACATAAAATAAATAAATAAACTATTATTTGCCCCATTTTATAAATGAGAGGCTTGAGGCACAGATAGGCTAAGTCTCTTTTCTAGAGCTGCACAGCTAGTGACAGTGCTGATATTTGAACCCGGTCTGTTCCAGAGCCCAGGCATTTTTTTTTTTTTTTAATCTATCTGCTGCCAGATCAGCTTTTTGTGTTTGCTTGCTGAGGCATGGTAGCACATGCCTATAATCTCAGCAATTTGAGAGGTTGAAATAGGAGGATCACAAGTTAGAGATCAGCCTAAGCAACTATAAGATATATATAAATATAAGATATATGGTTGAGATGATTCCTTAATTTTTGAAATCTACTCATGCTATATTTTAAAAAATATTTTGAAGTAGAAATATTCTAAAGTAATAGGATTTAATTCAGAAGTATCAAAGAGCTCATTCATTCTCTGGTTGCCTTGCACCTTTATATGTCTTGGTAGCTCTTCTTAAGAGACTTTGGGTCCACAAAACATCTTGCTTTTTCTGTTTGATTTAAGAATGGATTGAAATAGGTTACTAATATCCTACAGTATTAATAATTCATTTCGGAAAATAACCTCTCCTCTTTGGCAGCTGTTTCCTATCTTCTTTTCTAGTCCACATCCTGTATAGATGGATAGCTAAAGAGTGGCTGAATAAGGAGATAGCAGGAAATGAAATTGTAGAATCCCAGGCTAGAGAGATAACAAGATGCTCCACTGGGTCCAGCAGGAAAATGCTCTTGCTTTTCATAAAAATAATGTACTTATTTAGCTTAAACATTAATTCAAAAGTATTTTACTAGACAAAGTTTTTGTATATTTGTTATTTCTTTACTTAATAGGATTCTTCATAAACTTGTATAATGTTAGCAGGAATAAAAGATAAGCTATTTGGGCTGGGGTTGTGGCTCAGCGGTAGAGCGCTTGCCTAACATGTTCGAAGCCCTGGGTTCATTCCTCAGCACCACATAAAATAAGTAAATAAATAAATAAAGGTATTGTGTCCAACTATGACTAAAAAATAAATATTAAAAAATAAGCTATTTTAGGAAAATCATTTTTCTTGCTACCCATTTACTGGGATATATGGAGTATCTGCTTCAAGAACAATAAAAATTCTTTCACCTTCAAAAGCACTATTTAGGGGCTGGGGCTGTAACTAAGTGGTAGAGCACTTGCCTCGCAGGTGTGAGACCCTAGGTTCGATCCTCAGGACCACATAAAAACAAATAAGTAAATAAATAAAGATATTGTGCCCATCTACAACTAAAAAAAAAAAAAAAGCACTATTTATTGTTATTCTCATAGGAGAGGCAATTATAGTTTTTATTAAAATTTCCTGATTGGTTTAACTACTCTGGGTACTATACAAAACCTTTTTTTGTATATTAATCTGAATTTTCAGAGAAAGATTTTCAGTTTTTTTGATTATTCAGTACCAGTGCTTACAACACAGTAATTATAGTACCATTTGATGGTAACTTTCTAATAAAAACTAAATGGTTAAACTCTAGCCATTTTGTCAGACTTATGGTTAGGGTAGAATAGCATTAATCAAGTCTTTGTTGGTTGGTTTGGCCAGCATTAATATTTCTTTCATTCCAGTTAATACATATTTAGGATGCAGATATCCTAACTTAGGTGTATGTGCAAACAGAAACATATATATATACCTACTCCCAATTCTTTCTTTGGCTAAGTTATCTTTCATAACCTTTATGTACTAATTTTAAAGAATTCCCAATTTTGACATCCTTATTTTTACATTAAAGACTGCATCTATTCACATTTTGAAATGTTAATGAACTAGTCTGCTACTTGGCTGTTCTATATAAGTAAAACTGTTAATGTGTAGTTATGAATTTTGTGTTTTCTATCAATATTTGAGTTGGCATTTAGATAATTTTAAAAATTTTCAGTTTTTTTTTCAAAATTGCATTTATTTTTAGCTGCACACAGTGGTGCACACCTCAGGAGACTGAGGCCAGAGGATTGCAAGTTTGAGGGCGGCCTCTGCAACTTAGTGAGACCTTGTCTCAAAATAAAAAACAAAAAGGACTGGGCATGTAGTTCAGTGATAAAGCACCTCTGTGTTCAATCCCCAGTACCACATACAAAAAAAAAATTGCATTTATTTTTAAAAAGTCATAGCATGAACTGTAAAATTTCCTAAGACTAGGATCATGTTTTGAATAATAAAAGGATAATTTTTTTTTATAGGAGAAGACTGATAAGTACTTTGGACCTGTTGGTAATGATGGCCTGAGCTACACACCTAATTTGAAGGGTTACCCTTCTGTTTCAAAGAACAGGATGCTGAGGAAGCTATGGCAAGTATGTGTTTAACTGTTTGGGGATGTAAAGCTAAGATGCCAATGTACTCACTTTATATTCCATGATACTTTATTTAACTAATGTTGTAAAAGCTCTTCTTAAAAAACTTATGCTTAATACTTTTTAAAAATATGTGCTTTTAAACTTTAACTACTTTAAATTGACTACTTTAAATTTATCTACTTTTAATTGACTAATTTCAAAGGAAACAGTATCACACTTCTTAATAAATCTTATGTGGTTTATTTATAATTGATTTTTCAATTAATATTTGCCAAAATCAGCAGAGCATCAGACATCATTCCAGGTACTGTGATAACAGAAGTAAATAAGACAAATAAAATCACAGGGACAGTACCTTTAGTGTGGGGAAATTGATCTAGAAATTTTACTAGTTTTTTCTTTCTATCCAAAAAAGGATTCAAGACTTACAAGAACATATTTTGGGGGTGGAGTGGGATACTAAGGATCTAACCAAGGGGTGTTTTGCCGCTGAGCTACATCCCTAACCCTTTTAATTTTTTATTTTGAGACAGTCTTACTAAGTTGCTGAGGGTCTCATTAAGTTGCTAGGCTGGCCTCGAATTTGAGATCCTTCTAAGTCTCCCAAATCCCACTGTGCCCAGCTACAAGAACAATTTCTAAAAATATATTTTTAATGTATAGGCTATTAGAAATAGTTCATGATAGTTATGAAAATTATGATACTCACAAATATTTTTATTAGTCATACCAATATTTAAATGCTTGACTGTAAGTATAGGCAAATACATACTTTTATATTTTAAATAAATTTTTAAAAAATACATACTTGTATATTTTAAATAAATAGTATACTTTTCACATACTATTTAGATTACATACCATGTGTTTGAAATATTTATATTTTAGTATAATTGTTATTTAAATGAGTCTAGAGTATTAGGAAAGATTCAACAAACATTAATGTGATGATCGTTTATATTTTAAAAAATTATAAAGGTCATACAAGTTGATACTACCAATACTAATCATTACTTTCTTTCAAAGTTGAAAGAAAGTAATGATTAGTATTTTTTAAAATTTTTTAAAAAATTGAATGAATATATCCTCAGTGAAGTATGTAATAGTTGCTTTGTTTCATAAATAGGGACTATAATGGACAAGAATGGTCTCATAGAAAATCTCTCTTGGAACTAAGAATGGCATTCTTGTGTTAGACTGGCTGTGAAAGATGTACCACCTCCTTCAGAAAAGTAGAGAAATTTCTTTTCAGAAGAAAATTACTTTTGTAATAGTCACAAACTATTAATCAGCTAGAAAATTTTACAGTAGTGCTAGTTTACATATCGCTCAGTGAATTATGTGCCTACCTACATTACAGCAGGGCTAAGAAAATTAGGATGTTAATGTCCTAGAACCTCTCAAAATTTTTCTCTGCTCCTAAAACCTGGGATTAGAGATTGCCAGGAGAAATCTGCTTTTGTGTGTGTGTGTGTGTGTGTGTGTGTGTCTGTGTGTGTGTGTGTGTGTGTGTATGGTACTGGGGCCTTTGCATGGTAGGCATGTACTCTACCAACTGAGCTACATCCCCAGCCCCACCAGGAGAAATCTGTAGATCTTAAGTTTCTTCTTTTAATCTTTAGTATCATTTCTTAGGTGGACAAAAACAAATAGGGCTGGGTGCCTGCTGAAAGCCTATAAACCCAGAGGCAAAACCCAGAGGCCAGAGGATTCTGAGTTCAAAGCCAGCTTCATTAACAGTGAGGTGCTAAGCAACTCAGTGAGACCCTGTCTCTAAGTAAAATACAAAAAAGGGCTGGGATATCATTCAGTGGTTGAGTACCCCTGAGTTCAATCCCTGATCCCCCCACCCCACCCTCGCAGCAAAAAACAAAAAAGAGAAGATAGTTTCTTTACCCTTCAGCATTAATTAGCATTAATAAAAGGATCCTCTGAAATTAGATTATCTTTAACCACAGTTTCTTAGATGCTTTCACTTTTATTATATTCAGTCCAGTCTATATTCACTACATTTAAAAAAGAAATTTTAAGTGTTTTTATTTTTCCAAATTCACTTTAATACTTGATTTGTTATTGTCTTGTCCATTTTTAACAATTTTCTCAAGATTTGTCTCAAGATTTAATATTTAAAAGAACTTAAATATGATTTTTAAATATGTCAGATTTTAAATTGAATGTCTTAAGTTTGGAAAGTCTACTTTATTTTTCTCTCTCTCTCTAAACACAGTGGGTACCCTTTATTTTAATTTGACCACATTATTCTTTGTTCCTACTTTATTTCAGGCATTCTATGATTTTGGTAGATTGTTAACTTTTAGTTTGAATACAAACATGTGATAATAAGTATTTTCAGCTGGCTAAACAGAACTCTGAGAGAGAATTGAAACTAAATTGAATACAAAGCCTAAGAATTCTCAGGGAATATATATGAATGCAGATTCCTAAGAATTCTCAATGTGTGTATTTTTGGTTTGTAAACTGTTTTGTTTAGTTGATGCTAGATCAAAATTAACACAAACCTTAAAAACTGTAGTGCCTTCTAAAATTTTCTTATTTGATCAAGAATTGGTGTAGAAAACAAAGTTTGTTTTCGTTCACTTAAAATCTTAACTAAAATAACATGCTTTTGTGACTAACTAGGCCAACATGACGTTATCCATTAATCATTTAATTTAAAGTACAAGACAGTCAAGAAAGAAAGAAAGAGAAGCTAACAAATTCAGTGCAGTTATAGCTACTTAATTATACATTTTTTAGTACTAAGTAGAATTTAAAACCATCTACTAGCTTTTTTTGGTACTGTATTATATTGATACCTTACTTTTTAATTTTAAAAAAGGTCATAGAACACCATTAAAATATAGTTTTCTCATGGGACAGAGAAGTAGCGATTCTAAATATGAATTTGTATTTACTGTCTTTTTAAGATCTATATCCTTTTTTCCTGATTTTCCTGTAGGAATAATTCTTTGAATGTTTTTATCTACCTTGTTTCACTCTTAGATATATACTGTTCATACATAAAACTGATTTCTTACAAGCAAATTTTAGATGTTAGCAAATGTTTATTGAATGTCACTGGAGTTTGTAGAATGTTCACTACTTTAGTGAATTGAATGCTTTAGAACACAGAGTATTTTAATATTGTAATGACTAAGGTAATTTTTTATCTGTAAGGATTTTACCATCACAAATAATCTGTAAAGCAAACATGGTTGTATTTAATTCCTTTATAAATAAGTGTTTAATGAAATAAAATGCATATTATAATACACAGGATGTATATGTATATTTTTTTCAAGTTTTTTTTTCAGCAGATATTATTGGAGCCCTAATATGCACTTTGTTGGGCCCTAGGGATATAATGGAAAACTAAGCAGACATTCCTCTGACCATAAAATAACTTGTATAAGAATTGCCAGAATTTTTATAGTATCATGAGTAAATTTTGCTTTCATTAAGTCCTTTTCTGTAGAGAAACTTTGTTGTAATTATTTTGATTATATCAGAATCATGAGCTAATGGAGGAGCATCCTCCTCTCAGGAGAGGAACCAGGATGAAGATGGATCCCTAGAAATTAGCTTGGCCAGGTTTATACCCTAGAGAATATGGGTGATTTTGAGGGTTCTTAGAACCAGCTTGATTCCTTGGAATGTGGAGCAGCCCCTCCAAAAAAATACCTGGAATATACCTGGCCCCTCCAAAAAAATTCCTGGAATATACCTGAAGGCTATACATACCGAGACATGCCTGCTCCTGGTGGAAAAACCTTTGTAGAACACATGGTTTTGGCCTTAAAAATAGAAAGGAAACTTTGTTTCCAGCTTGAGGCAAATGACCATAGGAATATTTTAGTCTATTTGCAATTTTAAGGACTTGTAACTGTTTTTGTTGTATTTTATAATAAAGCAGAGTTATAACAATATTAAAGAAACTGTGTAAATGTCACACATAAAAATCCCATCTATAAACTCATATAAAAATCTCACTGTCTATAAAATTTTGCTCATCAAATCTTTGTCCATGTACATATTTCCTCCCAGTTATTATAATTAATACAAAAAATTTGTTCCAATTTGAAAAAGTATAGGTAAATATGTTTTCACCTTTTGGTTAGCATTTTTAAAAATAACAAAATCAATTGTATAACAATTGATTTAATTTAAAAATTTTTAAATGTATTTCTCCAAGGAAAGGTTAACTAAAAATAGTTTTTATGAGTAATTGTATTTACAGTGCTGGATGAATTTATGTGATATTTTTATTGTGTTTTAATTGCAAAATCACCTAACCACTCAGTTGTGCAACTGACCTCTAACCCCTTTTTTACAGGTGAATAGTGCAAGGTCCCCCAAATTGATTTTGAGCCCTGTTTTGAGTTGACCTTCAACTAGAGGATAAGATGCCTGTCAGCTAATAGTGATTTCTGTATGACAGTTTTCCTGTCCTGGCCCCATTGCACATTAATGAAAAAGAGAGATTAATTGGAACAACATCATAGCAATTCTTACTCTATATTTTTTCTTCTGCTTTTTCATTCAATTTGTATGTCTTGTCAGCTGATTAATTTACTTAAAAAAAATAAGGTGGTAAAGTGTATAATATTTAATAGATGGTATTTTTATTCTCTCAAAAGAATATTTTAAAGACTGGAAGATAACATTAATTCTGATAACACATATTGTGTATCAGAATGGGTGAAGGAAGTATTCTTATTTGTACAGCCTCTGGGCAAGATACCACTATTCCTGTTTTCCCCAGGGAAACCTTCTCTTCTCTTTCTAGAAGCGACCTGCACTGTGCTACTTGTTTCTCTCATTGCTTTGGTCATAGTTATTCTAATTGTTGGCTGCCTATCTTCCTTGCTCCCTTGCTAATACCTGATAGAGCAGTCTGTCTTGATCATCAGTGCCTCCCTAGTCTCTTGGCACATGGTCGACATTCAACAAGTCGTTGTTCATTGAATTTGATGAAGAATTTTGGTTTCATAGGTGAGGAATCTCAGGTTGAAACTGAGTGGCTTTACCAGATATCTGACAGAAGGGAACCTAGCCCCTGTAGTTTAGCCCCTCTAAGAATTAATTACTTTCGGCCGGGTTTCTTCTTCCACAGAACAGGCTAATTGTTCTAAGGTCCTTATTTCCTCCAAAATTATGACTTTATAACAAGAACCCTGAACATTCCTTTTTCCCTCTTTGGTCTTTTTTAGACTATGTGTATTATGCAGAATTAAGCCATTGGGCCAAATCTTGCAGCTCTTTAGAGAATATCGTATTTCCTTTAGGAGCATGTTAACTAATACTCTGACTCTGGTTTTGTTAGCAGTCATGGAGAACTTGAAGGTAGGTCATGGTGAGCAAAAGTTTTAGAAGAGGAAAGAATAATATTTTGGGGGTCTATGTATTGGATATAGAAGTAACCAGATGTTGAGGCAATCTGAAACACCCAGGTGTTCAGCTTTTCAATTACTGAAGTCTTTTTTTAAAATCATCTCTTAAGTAACTTTATTTAAAACTTGACTATATGGCCAAGACCAGTATTTTCAGAGGAAAAAGCACAATTTTTGATATCTATTACAAGATCATAATATAGAATATGAGTATATTATGCTTTTCATGACTTTAGCAAAAAAAATAAGCTTTTAAAATTCACTTATATCTGCTTAAATTTTTATCAACTGAGCAATCTGAACTAGTGAACTAGGATGAAGAGAAATAAAAATAATAGTTTGGTATCATATTACTGTTTATATGCCAGATAAAACATAAAATGCTTAACCTTGAGAGCTGGAAAGCCAAAAGAATAAAGAGATTGGGGCTGCTCCCTTTTTCCTCTGTGTCCTTTTATTTCTGCTGGCTACTTTGCTCTATCCTGAAGCCCTGGCCTGCCTTGTCCAGTGAAGGCACATTCAGTTTACTGTGTATTAGTTGTAAAATTCCATTGAAAATTTTAGCAGTGCCAGGGTGAGAAGGGTTTTTGGAATTTATATAGTGTCTTGAAAGTATTTAAGTTTTTAAGACAGTCTTTCAAACACATCTTGGAACTCCTCGGAGATGTAAATGGGGTTGTGGCATCCATAGGACTCAGGGAATAGTTCAGCCTCTACCCTCTCTGACCAGATACCTACTCTTCTATATTTTGGAGTTCTCTGGAGCTGGTGTTTCTCATAGTATTTTATTTTAAAGTCTCCCTTGCTTAAAACAAATTGTTAAACTATCACTTATAGGTTGTTTCAGGAAAAAATTCATCTTCCTTTTTTTTTTTTTTTTGAGGATGGAGAGACACTGAGGATTGAATCCAGAGGCACTTTATCATTGAGTTACATCCCTAACCCTTTTTTATTATTTATTTTAAGATGAGGTATCATTAAGTTGCTTAGGGCCACACTAAGTTGCTGAGCCTGGCCTCAAACTGCAATCCTCCTGCCTCAGCCTCCAGAGCTGTTGGGGTTACAAGTGTGTGTAACTGGCAAGTGCCCAGAAACCCTCTATCTGGCTCTTAGCTTCCCCCAAATAAATATGGTATGTCTCTAATTTCAGGAGAATGAGTCAAGACAGCTAACTCTCCTGCCTTTCAACAGTTTTTCTTTGTTATCCACATTGTGGATGATGCTCATTTATTATTCTTCTATCCATTTAGAGCTATTTGGGGAATTCCCTTTTTTTCTTTCTTATTTATTTGTGTGTGTATGTGTGTGTGGGTGTGCGTATGTGTGTGTAGGGGATTGAATGCAGGGCCTTACCTTTACCACAGAGCTACATTCCTAGGAATTTCCTGTTCAAATATAGATCTAACAGAAATGTTGATTCTTAAAAGAAAAAAAAGTGATGACCTCTATTTGATTAGAAGATGACATTATCTTAGTTTATAACATTTAGTTATAAAATAGTTTTACATTTCCCTATAATCTTTTAGAAATTAAAAGGAATTTTGTAGGAAAAAAAAGTAGGACAACTTTAAGAGTAGGGGTTTGGACTGTCAATATTAGTATTACTAAGCTGAGCACTTTTTGTTTTGTAATTTGGGAAATCAGGGAAATAGGGACATTTAGTCCAGCTCTTCCATCTGCTGCTTGAATCTATCAAATGGATCTGTAGTCTGTACTTGAGGAATTGTAGTGCGGGGGATCTTACCACCTTCAAGTTAAGGCATTTTCTCTTTGCACAGCTATCTCCTAAAAATGTATCTCCCTTTACTGAGTCTGTATATCTTCTCATAGGGGCCAGACTTTGCTTGATAATTCTTTTTTAGTTGTAGATGAACCCAGTGCCTCATGTATGTGACGAACCACTGAGCTGCAACTCCAGCCCACTTTATACTCTTTTAAGCAAACTTTTTGTTTTGTTTTGTTACTATTGGGGATTTAACCCGGTGGCACTATACCACTGAGCTACATCCCCACCCCTTTTTAAATTTTTTATTCTGAGAAAGTGTTTCACTAAGTTGCTGAAACACTTGTGATCCCCCTGCCTCAGCCTCCCCAGTTGCTAGAATTACAGGCATGTGATATCATGTTCATCTAGCAAACTCTTTTCTCTTTACTTCATCTGTAATAAGGATGGTGCTAGTAATGCAAAGATTCTAAATTACAGTGGCAAATATGTGAGACCCCTTATTCATTTTATTCATTGTCATTTGGTTTAGATTTCAGAGACATGTAAACCTTAATTTAGCATCTTATTTTTATTTGAAATATTTTGATTGCAAAATTTATTAAAATGAATCTGTATATTTCATATTTTATTGATATTCAAACTCAGTCTTGTGAATTTTGGCCTCTGTTCTCTGTGGTGATGCCCTCAGGCTCCATTGAGTTTTGTGGGACTATTTTCCTATTCATATTAATTCAAATTAATAAACATTTAGCGATTACCTACTCGAGTACAGGCTTCTTGGGTGCACTAGAGATGCAAATATGAATGAGATATCAACCAAAATAGCTCATCTGGGAATGCGTTTGAGATATAAAGGTTCTTTGCTTAAAGGGGAAGTACAGGGGATGAAATAGACCAAATTATGATGTGTGCAGGTATGAATAAATCACACTGAAGGCTACTATTATGTATAATTATAATTCACCAATAAAAATATTTTTAAAAAGAACTGCTGTTACAAGCTCTCTTAGCAAAGAGCATGTTGGCTTCTTCTGAGCACTGAACACAGAATGAAAAAAGGAAAAAAAAAAAGCTCCTGCTTGTTTGTTCAATCTAGAGTTTTGGAGACTTTGTTTTATTGCAATAAAGCTGATACTTAAAAAAGAATGGGATACATTATATATAATATAAAGACCACAGATGTAGATGGGGAGTGGGAACAGAAATGTTGCTGCCTCTGCTATATGGTAAGTTGTAGACTAGAAAAAAAAAAAAACAAGAGAAAAAAGTAACCTATGGTACAGAGAGATCATCATAGCAGATACACAGACAAGTGTCCTAACATCAGGAATGGCATGGACAAAGGTCTGAAAGTGTACTGAGTGTCCCTGGAATGGCAGTCATTTCTGGTGTGTGGAAAGCATAAGGAAATTGGAAGAAGGAGAAAGATGGATGGCAGAGATGAGGGAGAAAAGCAAGGTTGGGGCCACAGTGAGGGGAATTATGTACCTTATGGGGCTCAAACTTATTCTTCCAGCATTGGGGACCCATATTAGCAGATTTAGATGATTAGATATATTTAATAAATCCTGATAGCGTTTTATAGAATGATTAAGAATAATTGTTTATGAAACTTTGATCATTCATCTTTCATCTTTACCATTTTTTGCCATGTGTGAACTTCCTTTTTGGGCTAATGAGACAGACATGTAGGAGAAAGAGGACATAATTGATGGATGTAATGGTGATCATTTTTGAGTAACTGTGATTGCTTTTTATAGTTTTGGGTTTGTTTTTTGCCACACTGAGAATTGAACCCAGCAAATTTCATAGCTAAGCAAGCACTCTACCACTGAGCTACACCCCCAGCCATACCTTGTTAAGAGATTGACATTTTACACTGATAGTAGCATGTTTACAAAAGCAGGCCCACTCTTCATTCTCTTATAAGATTCAAATGGCTATAAGATTGAAATTAAAAAGTTTGGATCTGACGATGAGTATAGTACATAACTTTCAATGAGTTGGCTTGGAGGTATCTATTTTCATCTTTAGAGGACTTTTTTTTCCCCCTGATTCTTACCTTATTCTAGATCTTTATAATGGAGCTATGCAGCAATATAAGTGAAATATAACTAATTTGCTTAAAAGATCATAGTCACTCATTTTAAATTTATTTTAATGTAGGTGATTGGAGTTGTGCTTCAAAAATTTCAGCAGTTCAGCGGTATTTTATCTGCCAACAATAAGCTCTTTACTTGATTGAACCATGAAAAAGCTGCTAATGAGACTTGTTGAGCACAAAAGTGGACTTGCAGAACCAAAAGCCATTGTTTTCAAATGAATAATCCTGAACAGTTTTAAGCTTCAATGCTTTTTAATCACCACTGAAATTTTCCCTGTAACATCAGCATGGCAAGCAGGAGAAAATCAACAATACCTTGCATGGTCCTCGCCAGTGAACAGGATCCAGACCTTGAGTTAATATCAGATCTAGATGAAGGTCCTCCTGTACTTACGCCCATAGAAAACACCAGGGCAGAGAGTATCTCAAGTGATGAAGAAGTTCATGAATCTGTGGATTCTGACAATCAGCAAAATAAAAAAGTTGAAGGTGGCTATGAATGTAAATATTGTACTTTTCAAACTCCAGATCTAAATATGTTTACTTTCCATGTGGATTCAGAACATCCCAATGTAGTGCTAAATTCATCCTATGTTTGTGTTGAATGCAACTTTCTTACCAAAAGGTATGATGCACTTTCTGAACATAATCTGAAATATCACCCAGGAGAAGAGAATTTCAAGTTGACTATGGTGAAACGGAACAACCAGACAATCTTTGAGCAAACAATAAACGATCTGACTTTTGATGGTAGTTTTGTTAAAGAGGAGAATGCAGAGCAAGCAGAATCCATAGAAGTTTCTTCTTCAGGTATCTCTATCAGTAAAACTCCTATCATGAAAATGATGAAAAATAAAGTAGAAAACAAACGGATCACAGTCCATCATAACTCAGCTGAGGATGTTCCTGAAGAGAAAGAGAATGAAATCAAGCCAGACCGTGAAGAAAATGTGGAAAATGCAAATTCTTCAGCTTCAGAATCTAATACAAGTACTTCTGTTGTAAACAGAATGCACCCCAATACTGCCAGCACAGTAGTGACCCCCGCGGCTGTTCTTCCTGGACTAGCACAGGTGATAACTGCAGTGTCTGCTCAGCAGAACTCTAACTTGATTCCCAAAGTCTTAATCCCTGTTAGTAGCATTCCCACCTACAATGCTGCGTTGGATAACAATCCCCTTTTACTTAACACCTACAACAAATTCCCTTATCCAACAATGTCAGAAATTACAGTTCTTTCTGCTCAAGCAAAATATACAGAGGAACAGATCAAGATATGGTTTTCAGCCCAACGTCTTAAACATGGTGTTAGCTGGACTCCTGAGGAAGTAGAAGAGGCAAGAAGGAAACAATTCAATGGGACAGTACATACTGTACCTCAGACCATAACTGTCATTCCTACACACATTTCCACGGGGAGTAATGGTTTACCATCTATTTTACAGACATGCCAAATAGTTGGTCAGCCGGGTCTGGTTCTCACTCAAGTAGCCGGAACAAACACTTTGCCAGTAACAGCACCTATAGCCTTGACCGTGGCAGGGGTTCCAAACCAAACAAATGTACAGAAAAATCAGGGGCCTGCTGCTCCGCCTGTTGCAGAAACAAAGCCAGCAACAGCAGCAGTTCCCCCTTCTCAAAATGTCAAACATGAAACTGCACTGATAAACCCTGATTCATTTGGCATTCGAGCAAAAAAGACTAAGGAGCAACTGGCAGAATTAAAAGTTAGCTACCTTAAAAATCAGTTTCCCCATGACTCTGAAATTATCAGACTTATGAAAATAACAGGCCTGACAAAAGGTGAGATTAAAAAATGGTTTAGTGACACAAGGTACAACCAGAGAAATTCAAAGAGTAATCAGTGCTTACATCTCAACAATGATTCCGCTACCACTATCATTATAGACTCCAGTGACGAAACCACTGAATCCCCAACTGTGATTACTTCACAGCATAAGCCATCCTGGAATCCTTTTCCTGACTTCACTCCCCAGAAGTTTAAAGAGAAAACTGCCGAGCAACTTCGTGTCCTTCAGGCCAGTTTTCTCAATAGCTCCGTACTTACGGAGGAAGAATTGAATAGGTTAAGAGCGCAAACCAAACTTACTAGAAGGGAAATTGATGCATGGTTTACAGAGAAGAAGAAATCAAAAGCTTTAAAGGAAGAGAAAATAGAAGTAGATGAAAGCAATGCAGGTAGTTCCAAAGAAGAAGCTGGAGAAACTTCTCCTGGAGATGAATCTGCCCCACCTAAATCCGGGAATACAGGCAAGATTTGTAAAAAGACACCTGAGCAGCTGCACATGCTTAAAAGTGCGTTTGTCAGAACACAGTGGCCATCACCAGAAGAGTATGATAAGTTGGCTGAAGAAAGTGGGCTTGCTAGGACAGACATAGTTAGTTGGTTTGGGGACACCCGTTATGCTTGGAAGAATGGAAACTTGAAATGGTACTACTACTATCAAAGCGCCAATTCGAGCAGTATGAATGGTCTGTCATCCCTTAGGAAAAGAGGAAGAGGGAGACCCAAAGGACGGGGCCGAGGAAGACCTCGTGGACGGCCTAGAGGAGGCAAACGAATCAACAACTGGGACAGGCCACCATCACTCATAAAATTTAAAACTGGAACTGCAATACTGAAGGATTATTACCTGAAGCACAAGTTTCTTAATGAGCAAGACCTTGATGAACTTGTCAACAGATCACATATGGGTTATGAGCAGGTCAGAGAGTGGTTTGCAGAAAGACAGAGAAGATCTGAGTTAGGAATAGAATTATTTGAAGAAAATGAAGAGGAAGAGGAAGTCATTGATGATCAGGAAGAAGATGAAGAAGAAACAGATGATAGTGATACTTGGGAACCCCCACGACATGTGAAGAGGAAGCTTTCTAAATCAGATGACTGAAATGTAAGTTTTTAACCTGGTAGTTTTTCCATCAGCCACTTGCATTTCTAACAACCATCTTGTATCAGTCATCTCCACTTTTGATAATTCTTTTTCCAAAACACTTCTTTTTCCCCAATAAGACTAGGTACCACTAATAGAGTCAAAATGTAGATGACTAATGTGTATTGTTTGATTATTATGATTATTATGTAGAATTTAATGTTGCTTTATTTTTTGTATGAAATATTTTTATAATATTTATTTTTTTAGTTGTAGATGGACAGCATGTCTTTATTCCACTTATTTATTTTTATGTGGTGCTGAGGATCGTACCCTGTGCCTCAAGTATACAAGGCGAGTGTACTACCACTTGAGCCACATTCCTAGTCCCTGTATGAAATATTTTTAAGTTTCTTTCCAAGGAAAGATACCTTTTCTGTCAGACCAGGGGAAGAGGAGATTCATACACACACACACACATACACACACACACACACACACACACACACACAGTAAAGATGAGGAAAATGCTTCTCCTGCAACCCTCCTTCACTAAAACCTCATTTTTTTCTTTTTGCCTATTCAAAGAAATAATTAAAAAACTAAAACTAAAAAGAAGGGGGCAAAGTATACCAAAGGGAAGACTTACCACAGAGTGAGGATTATTCAGTTTTAGGAAACTAAGTAAAAACTGATTTTTATCATATTGCTTTCTAAATTTAGTAGATTTTTAGCTAGAGTTTAAGGTGCTTTCTGTATTAAAATCATTCAGTACCTTTTTTGTCTGCGCGTACTAGGGATTGAACCCAGGGGCATTTTACCACTGAGCTATATCTCCAGCCTTTTTTAAAAATTTTTTTTATTTTGAGACAGAGTTTTACTAATTTGCTGAAGCTGCCCTCGAACTTGTGATCCTCAACCTCCTGAGTTGCTGGGATTACAGGCATGTGCCACCACCCCCAGCTTCCAGTATCTTTTTCTATTAAAAGCCAAAGTTCTATTCTCAACCCTATATAAATTTCATGTTTGCCTAGGTGGCATCTGTTTTTGGAAACCGTGATGTAAATTATTTCTGTTTTAGAGATCAAAAGGCAAATAACATATTTGATATTAAATTAGCTCAGTCATTTAAAATATCTTTTTGATATAAAACAAATCTACCAGCACAAGTACTGTGTTTGATTAAAATATAAATCTTTATAGTCTTAAGAGTACAAATAAATGTGGATTAAATTTGAAAGATTTTGACATGCTCTTTAAATCTTTATTCTTTATCAATTAGATTAATTAAAATTTTGCTTTTATTACAAATCATTTACCTGATTCAGAGTTGGGACCTCAAGTTTTACTACTCTGCAATTCAGCAACGTGGATTTATTATTTTCTGTATTCTGTTTTGGAGTGTTCCAGTATAAAAGTACATTGTTTTCAGAAAATATTGTAGTTGTCATGAAATATCTGTCTGTAGTACAAATAGCATCTCCTATCAGAAATCATTGCAGTGTTCTTAAACAGTAAAGGAGGAAATGAGACATACAGCGTCATTATTATTTTATATATGAACATGCTTGCCTGTTTCCATAGCTTTTTACATCCCTAACCCAGGCTTTACTTTTATGCCCTCTTACTTTCTCTCTCTTTCTCATAATTTCCTTAATTTTCCCATATTTTCTCTCTCATTTATTTATTTTAGCAATTATTTTTGAGACCTCAGTATATGCAAGATGCTGTCCTTATTTCTTAGCAATTTTTTATCAGGTTTTATTTTCATTAACATTTTTTAAGGCAGAAAAGCAGATGAACTGAAAATATTGATGCTTTTACAAAGCTGTACGAATCTCATTCCAGGTTAGAGAGCACATTTTAAGTCACTAGAAGCTCAAGAATTTTGTACAACTTTGCCCTGAAGTGTAGCCCTCCACTTCCTCCTGTTGGAAAGCTTCAGGACAGACTTTGTTCTGACCTAGATGCATAAAATATTTTTAACAGTCACTTTTTTTTATTGCTAAACACAAGAATGCACACTCAGCCAAGATTAAATCAACAAATTTGTTGCTGCCGTGAATTGTTGTTGCAGCCTCTGCAGCAACTTTCTGGGGAGTTATAATCTTCTAAAAATAATGTGAACTTTTCTGTATGATTTACTTTAACCATACGTTAAATTTGTGTGGAAAATTCTTATATATTCACACTGGTATTATGGTAAGAAAATTCACATAAAGCCAGTTTTAAAAAATTTGTATTGCAACTTTGTTATGTGCACTTTTATGGTATGTATAGAAGAATGCCTTTCTTTTCAAATGCACAAAAGTCTACAATTATAAAACCTTAATTTTGGTTATTATTTTAATAAAATAATTGTTCATTTATAAGAGAAGTCACTCTAGGTTTCCTTTAAAAAGTTGTGTGTTGCATGCCTGTGACCCTAGCTACTCTGGAGACTGAGGCTGGAAGACAGCCAGATTTGAGGGCAGCCTGGGCATCTTAACAAAAACCCTGTCTTAAAATAAGATAAAAATGGCTGAAGGGCTGGGATTGTAGCTCAGTATTTCAGTGGTGGAGCATTTGCCTAGCATGTGTGACATACTGGGTTTGATCCTCAGCACCACATAAAAATAAATAAATAAAATAAAGGTATTGTGTCCATATACAACTAAAATTATATTTTTAAAAAAGGGCAAGAGATATAGCTCAAATATACTAAAATGTTCCTTGATTCACTCTGCAGTATCTCTCTCTCTCTCTCTCTCTCAGTTTTATTGCATTTAAATATGGTTCAGTTTACAAAAAAAAAGTCACTCAAACTTTTTCTAACAGTTTTTGCAAAAAGTGAAGTACACATATAACATTTGTACCTGCCAACTTTGTATATAAACAGAAAAATATAGGTCTTTAGATTTCACAGCTTGTTTGTTATAGATACTGATAATGATATATACACTTCCTATTCATAATTTTTATAAATGACTAGAGAGAGGTGATAAATGTCTATAAGCAAATCTGGCATATGAAGACTATAGCTATATGAGGTACGAACAAGGTATAGTGCATTATATGATATGTGTGTGGTAAGCTCAGTGTTAGGGCACAGAGGATGTATTTTCATGGTTAATAGTCATTTTGATCTAAAAGTCGAAAAATTAAAGTTTGGTTTTCCTTAAAGTTTCAGTTTTTTATGTTTTTCTTTTATAGCTGCTTAAAATGTTGAAGGAGAATCAATTCTTCAACTCAAGATGTCTGGTTTACTGTGAAGGGGCCCAATCTTTGATGACACTGAAAATGTTTTGGGGCTCTCAAAAAACAGGATCCAATATCCAAAAGAAATGGAACTTAATATTGTGCCAAAGTTAAACTACTGCAGTTGGTGGAAGTTCTGCAATGTAAATAGAACACTAATTAAAAAACGACTTGTAAAAATTCAGATTTTAATACAGTACATTTTTATTCTGATATGATAGAGACATTCTGAATTTTGGACTTTCTGAGGGAGTTTAATGACCACTAGAGCTTGTCCTCATATTTAGTCCAGCTTACTACTACTGTGTGTCTGGTAAGAAGGGCTGGATTGCCTGTATTCTTTGATATGTGATTAAGCTTATAGCTTTGAGTGACCAAACATTTTACAGAGTAAAAATTGTTAGGAATGGGAAAACAGAAAAACCAAACCTGTTTTATTTTGTGTCTTATTTATCAGGCCCTGCGCCAAGATTAAAAGTTGTATGTGGGCTTATACAACTTCAAGTATTAAAATAGCCTCTATACACATGTTGAAACAATAAGTTTTGTGGTATCGCTGGCCCTTAATGATCGGATCTTTAATTAAACACACTCAAGGATGCCATAATCTCTACTTGTAATATTTCTGTTACTTTTCTCATTAGAAGCCAATTTGCTTTTTATTAAATAGATAATGCCGAAGAAGGAAAAGAAACTGGTAAGAAGTTGAATAAATGTTGTACCAAAAAAATGTGAAAAAGAATCATGTAAAATATATGTAGTGTTTTCTTACAATCATGTGGGAATCAGAAATGTTCATACAGATGTCAGATCAGAATTTTCATTATCTTTCAGTGAAATTCTACATTGTGTAACAATTTCGTTGACTAGAGAAAAAATTCTGAACTGATCCTAATGAGTTAAGAGTTAGCTTTTCACTTATGAATCATGGGAATGTTAACTGTTAACTCTTATCATACCAGGAGACTGAAAGTTCATACTGATTTATAAACTTTGTAAAGACCGGTGCTGTTCATTCATGTTGAGGACCCTTTATTTTGTGATCATAGGACCATTTTTCAAAATGTGGTTTCTTCATAGAAGAAATGTTCAGTTTAATTAGCTTTGGATATTAAAATGTTTTTCTGAATGATCACATGTAGTGGGCTTGGCCAGTTTATTTTATCTAATTTAATGAATAATAAATATTAAGCTCTTGGTTAAATGTGTCAGCTAATGGAAATGTTATGAAAAAGCCTTGAATATGCATGCTGCTTTCATTTTTATAAACTGTTTATTTTTTAACTATAGCTTTATTAGTAATTCCAAAATGCTGCAATTTAGCTGATTTCTTCGCTCAGACAGCTGGCTTTGTGGGTGGCTTTTTTCATACTACTGTTAACATTTTTTAAAAAGAAGCAATGTAAAGACTGTAACAATTGAATGCACTAAACTGTTTTTTTTCTTTTACACGTTTAAAACTTCTTAAAGCACTCTGTATTATAATGATTAAATTGCTCCCTTTTTTAAACCATTGCTAATGTGGTCTGAGTTTTGTTCAATAGTAATTTTAATGTTTTCAAAATTTGAAATGTCAAGTATTGGAAATGAAGCCTTTGAATATATTTATATTATGTTTCCCTTGCAATATGTTAACTCTGTATATAGTTGTAAATAATTATTAATAAAAATTTCCCATCTCTTTTATAGGCTTGATAAAATTCTGCTCTGATGTTTGCTAGCTTTTAAATATATTTATTTGACAGAGCAAAAGAACTCTTCTCTCCTGGTTGATTGTGTCCTTGAATACAAATAAAAGTTAGCAGTGATTAGTAGTTTTCAGTGACTTTTTTTCCATTTTAACAACATCAGTTTTTAAAAAAAATATGGATAAAATTTGCCATTATGCCCACATTTAAGTGTACAATTCAGTTTCATTGAATTATCTTCACAGTGTTGCACAATGATTACCACTATTTCCAATATTTTTTCATGAACCTAAACAGAAACTTGTAACCATTAAGCAATAACTCCTAATTCCCCCTGGCTCCTATAACCTCTGAGAAGTAGTCTTAGTAGACTATAGTAAGTAATGTGTCTCCATAGATTTGCCTATTTTTGATATTTCAGATAAATGTAATTGTCCAATATTTGTCCTTTTGTGTCTGGCTTATTTCCCTTAGCATAATGTTTTCAAGGTTATCCATAGTTGTAGCATATACCAGAACTTTGTTCCTTTCTTTGGCTGAATTATATATTTCTTTCTCTCTCTCTCTCTCTCTCTCTCTCTCTCTCTCTCTCACACACACACACACACACACACACACACACACACACACACATTTTGCACACATATTTTGGCTGTTCACACTCTGTTGATGGACACTGAGGTTGTTTCCACCCTTTGGCTGTTGTAAATAATGCTTCAGTGAACTTTGGCACAGAAGTATCTGAATTCCTGTTTTCATTTCTTTTGGATATATATCTAAGAGTGGAACTCTTTAACCCTATGGTAATTTTGCTTAACTTTTGGAGGAACTACTAAACTCTTTCCCACAGTGCCAAAATGTTTTCCACAGCATCTCTATATTTTACATTTTACCATCAGTGTTCAGAGATTCCAGTTTCTCTGCATCCTTGCCCACACCTTTTATTTTCAGTTTAAATAAATGATTACATTGTGTAGTAAACATAGGGGGATGGAGAGGAGGGGACAAAAACTTACAGTAACCTCAGTAAGTGTGAAGTGGTATCTCATTGTGGTTTTGATTTGCATTGCTCTAAGGATACTGTCTGTCATGCAGTTACTGACCATTTGATCATCCTTCGTGGAGAAATGTCTCTGAGAGTCCTTTGCTCAGTTTTGGGTTGCCTCTTTGTTGTTAAGTTATAGGAGTGCTTTCTATATTCTATATGTTACAGCCTTATTGGATACATGATTGGCAAATATAATCCATCTTCATTATTCATGGATTCAGCATATGCAAATTTTCCTACTCACTAGAATTTATTTGTAAGCTTAAAATTAGTACAAATGGTACCTTCTTGGTCATTCTTGCACATGTACAGAATGGAAAAAAATTTTGATTGTGGCCAATGCCCACAATCCTAGCTGAGGTCAACCAAAGAAATCTCTGCCTTTTTGTTTCTCAAATTGTGAAGAAACATCCTTTTAACTTTCTATTTGGTGTTATGTTTCCCATATTTTTGTGCTTTTTGCTGGTGATTTCACTGTTTAAAATAGTCCTTAAGTTTTGTACTAAATTGCTGCCTAGTATTGCTAAAAGCAAGAAGACTATTGTTTGTCCTATGGAGAAAATGCATGATTAGATAAGCTTCATTCAGGCAGGAGTTATAATGCTGTTCAATGTTAATTAATCAATAGTATATATGAAATAAAATGTCTATAAACATAAATGCATAAAGCAAGATTACATATTGATTGATGAAAATATTGTGACCAGAGGCTTCTAGGACCCTGACCCTAGGAGCATTTGGGCCTTTATAGGGCAGAATTACTATGAATAATGACAATTGGTTGCATTTTATCTATTGTATAAGTTGTATTTTCACTTTCTTGATAATGTGCTTCAGTGCACAAAAATTTTAATTTTGCTTAGGTCCAATATATGTTTTCTTTTGTTGTTTATGCTTTTGGTATCATATCTAAGAGGCTATTTCCAAATCCAAGGTCTTGAAGATTAACCCATATATTTACTTCTAAGTGTTTTGTGGATTTAACTGAGATTTAGTTCATCAATCCATTTCAAGTTAATTTTTGTATATGGTATGAGGTAGGGGGTCCAGCTTCATTCTTTCGAATGTGATAATCCAGTTGTCCCACCACCAATTGTTGAAGCAACTGTTTCCCCCTTATTGAATGAATTTGGCATCCTTGCCAGAATCTGTTCACTAAGTGAACTCAATTCTGTTCCATTGGTCTATATTTCTATCTTTATGCTAGCATAAGAATTTTTATAGCTTTGTAAAAAATTCTGAAATTGGGAGTGTGAGTTCTTAACCTTCTTCTTTTTCAAGTATTTTTTTGGGGATTTTGTTTGGTTCACTTTATGATTCTGTATGAATTTGAGAATTGACTTGTCCATTAAAAAATAAACACTGCTCAAAGTTTTATAGGGATTATGTTGAATTTGCAGTTTGCTTTGCATAATACTGACATCTTAACAATATTAATTCTTATTATTCATGAGCACAAGATGTCTCATTCCAAGTATTTAGTATTTAGGTCTTATTTAATTTAATTTATTTTTTAATAATTATTTTTTAGTTTTAGGTGGACACAATATCTTGATTTTATTTTTATGTGGTGCTGAGAATCGAACCCAGTGCCTCATGCATGCTAGGCAAGCATGCTACCACTTGAGGCCTCATCCCCAGCCCCTAATTTAATTTCTTTAAGCAATATTTTGTAGTTTTCTTCTGCAAATCTTTCACTTTTTTTTTTTTTTAAGTTTTACTGCTTTGCCAGCAAAGGAGAAAAATGGGACTCCTATCCTAGATGCTGTGATTCTGCCCATTAGGAGGAACAAGGGGATTTTAAAGAGGTGATTCAAAGGCTACATTCCAGGTGTTCTCTATCCAGAGTTGTAATTTACTTGTTAATTTGGGAGATGGTAACTTTTTAGATCTTCTGATGCTTTCCCAGAAGTCTTGAATTAGTTCATTCCTGTGGACTTTCACCTTCTTTGTTTATTTTTTTCCTAGACATTTTATTCTTTTAGATACTATTGTTAATGGAATGGCTTTTTAATTTCCTTTTTGATTGCTCATTGTTAGTATATAGAAACTCTACTGACTTGACTTTGCTGAATTCATTTATTAGCTCTAGTAGCTTTCTTGTGGAATCTTTGGGATTTTTTAATACATAGAATCATGTCACCTGTGCATAGATATCCTTTCCAACTTGGATGTCTTTTATTTATTTATTTTTTTCTTGCCTAACTGCTTTGACTAGAACTTCTAATACTATGTTGAAAACAAAAAGAAAAGAGAGGGAAAATAAGATGAACACTTCTCCCAGTTCTTGACCATTGGCTCTGTGCTGGAGATCTCAACATTTAGCTAGGCTTGCTCCGAGCCTAGGGATTAGCCCAAGATGAAAGCTTAGGGTCCTTCTGAGCTTTTCTGTGTAAGCATCTTTCCCTGGGCATGTGTGTGGCTTTCTAAAATTTCCCCCGACCACAGGAATTTTTGAATGTCTTAATGTCCCAAAGAATCTCCCCCAGTCTTTCCTCCCAGGCCTTCACAGTGTGTTGCATGTCCCCTGTAATCATTTACTAGAGGAATCTGTAGATAATAGGTTCACCTTGCAGTGTTTTTGTGCAATACCCACTGCTTTTTAGTCCCAGTTCTGAGTGATGCAAAATGGAAATGAGCATCTTCTGTTTAATCTTTTAGGCAGCCCCCAGACAGGTGAGAACTCAATAATTCTCAAATAAGGTCTTTCCTGTTTCCTCTGGAATCAGAGCATAGGGCCTCACAATGGCACATGGATTGTTTATCATTTATCTCCACACTATAACTTAAGTTCCATAAAAGCCAGACGTGGTGATAGAGGCCTATATCCTAGTGACTTAGGAGGCAGAGGCAAGAGAATTGCAAGTTCAAGGCCAGCCATGGCAAGTTTGAGGCCAGCTTCAGCTACTTAGCAAAAGCCTGTCTCAAAAAGGGCTTGGAATGTAATTTAGTGATAAAGTGGCCCTGGGTTCAAATCCCAGTACCCAAAAAGTTAAGAAATTAAGTTCCATGAGAACAACAGTCTTATCTGTCTTACTTATTCACTGTAATCATTCACTATGAACACTGTGCCTGGCTTATAGCAGATACTCAACAAATTTTAATTGAATCAATGAATGTATCCACTATAAAATTTACATAATATGGGAAATATAATTGAACTCAAAATGTTAAATGTAAGTTGGTAAATATCCATGAGAATTATTGGGATGGTTCTTATACCAGCAATTGAAGAATATGTTTTGCTCAAAATAACAGAAAAAGGTGAAAAAGGAAAAAAAAAAAAAACATTTTACACATATCCAGGGAAGTTGAGAAGTGTAGCTCAGAGGAATACTGCTTAGGTAAGAAAGGGAAAGGAAGAGAGATAATTTCATTGTGGAAGGTGTTTTTAGACTACCAAGCCCTGTGATTCTCTATCCTGGTACATTACCACAGTTTGTAATTAAATAATTTGCTTGCTTACATGTTTATAAAATCTCTTACCCACTTTATTGTGTGCTCCATGAAAGTAGAAATCCTGATTGGTACGTCCTTAGCTCCTGGCACAGAGTTGGGCCTCAAATAGATAAAATTATGCCCACAATGCATAAATGAATAATGTGTGCTAAAAACATGGCTTTGCCTGGTATGATGGTGCGTACCTGTAATCCCAGTGATTTGGGAGGCTGAGGCAAGAGCATCACAAGTTCAAGGCCAGCCTCAGCAATTTAGTAAGGCCTTAAGCAAGTTAGTGAAACCCTGTCTCTAAATAAAAAATAAGAAGGGCTGGGGATGTAACTTACTGGCTAAGCATCCCTGGGTTCAATTTCTGGTACTAAAAACCCCTAAAAAACATGGCCTTACAAGAACATTCAGTATAGATTAATCATTTAACAAATATTGAGGACCTGCTGAGTGCTAAGTACTGTGTTTGATGCTAGACAGAGATGAGTAACCCAGTCCCTGCCTAGAAAGAGCTTGTGATCTACTGGGGTGATGAACAAGTAAGCATGGGTCACAGCTACAGGAGATGCAAGGTGCCCTGGTAGAGAGAAGCACACCTGCTATGTGAACCAGACAAGGGTCAAATGAGTGTATGTGGGGGGGGGCAGTCAGCCAGATGAAGGGCATAGGGTGGGGGAGGGGGAAATTTGACAAAGGAAATGATGAGCTGGGCAGGGCAGGGAAGTTTGCAGGAGAGAAAGACTCTGGTGGTAGATTGTGGGAGGTCTGTTGAGGAGAGCAGCTATCAAGAGCAGGACTAGGTAAGGACATGGAGTGGAGGAGGGACACATCCCTCATCACGTTGCGGGGGTCAGAGGGAAACATCGGTTCCTGTGGTTGCCAACTCACAATAGGGAGCCCTTGAAATGAGAAGTGTTCCTCCTGTTGTTTCCTGGTACTCCTCTTTCATCCATTCAATGGCCATTGATTGAGTTGCTCTGGGCCAACCCTGTTGGGACGGAGTTTACAAAAGTAAAAATGATGCCATCTCTAAACTGCCACAGTCCACAGAGTGCTAAATGCCACAGTGGATGAAAGCATGGGGGAATTCTAGGATAGAGGAAAACGGGCTGCCTATTGGAGGTAATGTCTAACTTGGGATGGGTAATTCAACCAGGCACTTCAAATCAAAAAATAGATTTTGGGGGCTGAGCTCAGTGACAGAGCACTTGCCTAGCATGTGTGAGGCACTGGGTTCAATCTTCAGCACCAGTAAAAAATAAATAAAGATGTTGTATTCATCTATATCTAAAAAATATTTTTAAGAATCATATTTTTATAGATAAAAATGTATAAGGTTGGGTGCTATGTTGCTGGTAATCCCAACTACCTGGAATGCTGAGGTAGGAGGATAAAATTCAAGGCCTGCCTGGTTAACTTAGCAAGACTCTGTCTTCAAGTAAAAGGGACTGGTGGTGCATGCCTGTAACCTCAGCATCTTGGGAGACTGAAACAGGAGGATACCATATTCACCACCAGCCTCAGCAACTCAGCAAGGCCCTAAGCAACTTAGAGCCTGTATAAAAATAAATTTTAAAAAGGACTGGAAATGTAACTCAATGGTAAAGTGCCTCTGGATTAAATCCCCAGTGCCAAAAAAAAAGGGAAGGGGGGGCAGTGCTGGGGATGTAGCTCATTGGTAGAGAGCTTGCTTATCATGTGCTAGGCCCCAGGTTCAATCCCTAATACCTCAAAAGTAATAATAAATATATAGAAACATTTTTATCCCAACCATACTAGTTTTTAGATAGTAGCACAATTCCAATTTACTAACACTGCCTAACACCCATATTTTCTAAGTGAATAAGGTGGATTTTACAGTTACAGTGTGTATGCCTTCTGTTTTATTGGTTTACTTTTTAAAAATGACATTATTCTAAGGCCTTTCTCTCAATTGAAGGAATGGTTTGCAACTTGGGGTCCTTAACCCCAGGTCCTCAACAGTGATAGTGGCATTGGAGTTGTTCCATTATTGGCCAAGTCCCCATAATAAGGTTCTCCTTTCCTCAGCCTGCTCAGGGTCCTTAACGGCTCCTTCTTCACTTTCAGCAGGAATTGTTACATGCAATGAGGCAAAGCTGGTAGGTTCAGGCGGGGTTTATCTGTTATATACAATTAGATTCCATTTTTAAGGGAAAATGAAGCAATTATTAGTTTAAAATATAGATTTGTTTTGCACACAAATCTTCCATAACAGTGGGAGGAGACAATAACTGAGTTTTAAGTGGTTAAAAGGCTAGAAACCCATGAGCCTAGGAATTCTGAGTTCAAGGGGCAAAGAATTCTCATTTACCCACAAACTGCCCTGTCTCTAGCTCACTTGGTTGTTGAGACAGGAGGAGCCTAGACCCAGGGGACCTCAAAACAGGAGAGGGTGGAAATTCTAAGATCAATCAGCCTTCAAAAGAAGAATTAAAAAATTCTCCTTGCCTGCCTTTGCTTTTTTCTTGTTTTGCTCCTAAAGCAGGAATTTTGAATGAGCATGTATCACCTTCTTGCTGGCAGGTACTTTATGTTCTTTTTGTTATTGTTGCTGCTGTTGGTGGTGGTGGTACTGTGGATTGGATCCAAGGCCTCACACATATGGGTGCTCTATCAATGAGTTACATCACCAGCCCTTTTTATTGTGTATTTTGAGACAGGGTCATTCTAAGTTGTCCAGGCTAGCCTCAAACCTGCAATCCTGCCTCAAGTCTTCTCTGGAGTTGATTATGCATGTGCGTCAGTGCACCAGGCTATGTGCATTATTTTAATCAATGCACATTTCACAAATAGAGTTGCACAGTCAGCGAATAACTGAACCAGAATTGTGAAACCAAACAAAGCTGGCGCTTGAGGCTCTTCAACACTATGCTGTATTGCCTTTTGTGCAAAGACGGGGCATATTAGAATTAGGTCCTTCTTTGGACCCCATTACTTCTGGATAATGGTATTATGGATTACCTTTTTCCTTCTGTTTTTCTATAATATCCTATTTTTCTTAATATGGAGTGTTACATTCTGATGGGAAAATAAAAAACATTTAAAAAAAAAAAAAAGGAAAAGTGAAACTTCTCTGGATGAATTCATCAGTAGCTAATGCCTGAGGCTGTCCAGTGGGAACCTGCAACCCCAATGTTGGATAAGTGGGATGGTTCTAAATTTGGGGATTAATCAGCAGAGAGATGGATTTTGAAAACTGGGATACATTGCTCTGGATGCGTTTGTCGAGTAGAAAATCGGGTTGAAGAAAGAACCCTGACAGACCAACGTGAAAAAGGAACTGATGAGTGTGAGGAAAAACCAAACAAGCAAACAAAAAAACAGGGAAATAACTTTGTTTCCTTCTATATAATGTGGTACAATAATATTGCATTGTGCAATATTGGCCAGTATTTTTGGTGACAATCTATAGAGTCAAGAAATATCTTGAGAGTATAGAAATTCTAACAAAAGTTAATCTTAGAATTCCAGGATTTGGGATGGGGATGTGGCTCAAGCAGTAGCGCACTCGCCTGGCATGCGTGCGGCCTGGGTTCCATCCTCAGCACCACATACCAACAAAGATGTTGTGTCCGCCGAGAACTAAAAATTAAACATTAAAAAAAAATTCTCTCTCTCTCTCTAAAAAAAAAAAAAAAAGAATTCTAGGATTTGGTATTTTTCTCCCAGCAGAATGAATATTCCCTGATCAAGGCCCTCAAGTAAATTTCGAAGTCTTCTGTTTTATAAATGCTTTAATGACTCTGGTTACTGGTAGTGGTGTATCTTTCCCAGAGACGTGGGGACTTTCTGTATTTGCCATCTCGTTAGCCCATAAAGTGATCCTGAGTAAGTTATCTTGTCAAGCCCCAATATCTTCGTTTGCAACATGGGAATCACTGCCTTTTGTAGGGTTGTTAAGAGGAAACAGGAAATTCAAAAATAAAGTGCTTAACAGTGCTGGAATACTGTCAGTGGTTTATAATGGTACTTAAAAGAGTTTTAAACTGCTGTGCGTGCGCGAGTTCGTATGTGTTTGTGTGTGTTACTGGAGACTAAACTCTGGGGCCCTCTACCATTGAACTACATTCCCAGCCATTTTTAATTTTTTATTTTGAGACAGGGTCTGGCTAAATTGCCCTGACTGGCCTCCAATTTGCGATCTTCCTGCCTCAGCCTCCAGAGTCCACAGGATTACAGAAGTGCGCACCAAGCCCAACTGGGCCAGGGCTTTTTGATGCATGAAAATAAGGATCGCTCTGTCCACCTCCTGACATGGAGAAGCCAAACCCTTAGTCCTAGGGTTCGGAAAGTGAGCGAGTTAGACAAAAACCTCAGCTCAACCACTGCCCCCGTCCACCGCCAACAGCTCCTGTACATTCACAAGGACTACAAGTCCCAGCATGCCGCGCTCCGGGTCCTGGGGGCCGCACTGCTTCCGGTTGGCCAAACGCGGCGCCGCTTTAGGCACCACCTCCTCTCGGTGCCCCGTCGTGGGCGCGCCATGGATCCCGGGTATTGGATCGGCGGCGAGTTTGAAGACTCGGTGTTCGAAGAGGGGCCGCAGCGGCGGCCGGGGTCCCCCGCACCCTACCGCGCCAAGCGCTGCGAGCCGCAGGTGAGGGGCGGGGGCCTCTGCCCCGAGGGATCCGGGCCTCGCCCTCTGCGGTGTCGGCGCCGCGAACGCGCTGTCTTGCGCTAGCGTCCCGGGCCAGGCTTTGCTCCACTCCGGCCCCCGGAGCACCGGACACGGCCTGGCCGTGCGGTCTCACCCCGGCCCGCAGTCTCCAGGGGCGCCGGGTGCCTTCCCGACCCTGCCGCGGCGCGCTCAGGGCCACTGCCCTCTTTGCAAACCTCAGCGCTGTGTGTCCCCAAACGGGAACTCCGCGCACCTGCCCGCCCTGAACTCCGTGCCCACTAACGCCCTGGTGGCCCACATCGAGCAGGCACAGCCATTTCTCAGGGCCCATCGTAAATGCCAACTCCTCCAGGAAGTCTTCTGATTCCCTCCTCCAGTGAAATGTTTTTGTCGTGGCGCCCCTAACCCGCTGTTAGCTTCTCTTGAAAGCGCTTGTCAACGTGCTCGTAAAGCCCTTAGACCGCAGCACTAAATGGTCACACGACAATTGTTCTTAACTTGATGCTCACTCTGCAGTGCCTGGCAGTTTTGTTCAAAGTAGGAAGTCCATGCGTATTCTTGAGTTAGTACGGTATTACTTTGTAATATTTCATAAGGTAAATGTCGTCTCTCCAGGCATAGCTAGTATTTATGCAAACCTGAACCAGGCACTGTGCTGGGTTCTCTTACATGGATTCTCTTATTTGTTCCTCAGTAAGCTGTATTTAGAGACGCCAGGGACTCAGTAATTTCTGAATTGTACTATTTTTTTTCCAATTTTTTCTTAATATCTGCAAAGTCTCAAAGTTACCTTCAGTACTCAATGTGTAAACTGAAAACAGGGATTGGGCTTGAGCTGTATTGTGGTAGAGCATTAAAAAGCTCTGGTTTTAAGATAGGACCCTTGAATTTCATCAATGTGTCAATTTCTTATTTCTCATTTGGGAAAAACACTTGCTGGCTTACAGGGTTACTGTGCAAGTGAAATGAGATGCTGTTTATGAAGATACTTGGCCAAGTAGTAAAGTAAAACCCAAAAGTCTCTTAAGAATATGTTTGCTGCGTGAGTCTGAAAATCTGCTGCTCACAAATAGCTCAAGGAGGCCTTATTGTAGTTACATTGGTTTTCCTTGTTGAAAATAAGAGTTTGGCTTAGAAGATTTCTGTTGCCTGGCCTGCTTCCTTATCCAGGCATTTCCATCCTGTTCACAAGGTTCTTCCCTTCTTCCTCAATAGAGGGGGTATTGGAAGGCATCATCTCTCTGAATCCTTGGCCTGCCATGGTATGGGAGAATATAGGTAGTCATCAGGAAACCAGCTATACTTCATCATTCCCACTAGGATAATGGAAATTGGATGGAGGTTGATACGTTTCTGTTTGGAAAGCTGGGACTGGCTAATCTGAAACAGTGACTAGACAGCCGTGGTGTATACAGGGAAAATGTGGGTCCATTGCATAGACTGTTGTGGGCCAACGCAGTGCTTGGGGAGAACAGAGAAATGGTTTCTGGTCTTCTTCACTGTGATGAATCAGGCCAAGGAAACTGATTTTACTAAGGTAGCAGAGAAGCATTGATACTCAGGCAGCTCTTTTAGAAATATAGCAGGCAATTATGATGTGAAGGTGGAACCCTCACAAATGAAGTTACATTCAAATTAATAATAGTCAGCCAGGGATGGGCTTCCATGTGCTTTACTTAAACTAGTAGAAAAGCAAGGAAAGCATCCCAGGTGGGCATCTCCTGAGTTTCTCCCGTCGCCCTTTGGCGTTTGGTTGCATTGAAACCTCCTTTTAGCCTTGGTTTCCGTCTCCTTCTTTGCTTAGATTCTTTTGAGCCTTTCATCATTTTTCCTAACAACACCTCAAACATAATTCTTTTTTCTATGTCTTTTTCATAAAGAATTGTCAGTCTCTATTCCATTCTCTAAAATTGCTTTAAAAGAAAACATCTCACTTTAAAAAACCATTGTGAACTGTGCGGGGTAAAGGTAGCGAATTCCCAGGCACCACACTGGTATCAGAAATGATGTAAAGAAAACCACATGTCTCATGCAGCTTTTTGGGGGAAATAATATTATCAATAGATTTATTATTTGTGATAATTTTAATCGAAACTGGGTCATCATTAAAGTTGTTATTCTTTGTTGGCTATTTTCCCCAGTCTCATCTTGAAGAGGTAGGTCTTTCTGAGGTTTAACTGGTTATATTATGGAAAATTACTCCTGAAGATGAGATGAGAGCATAGCTTCACTCTCTGTAATGTGCTCTGTTCATAATTTCTAGTGGTTTTATGAAGAAACTGAGAGCAGTGATGATGTTGAAGTTCTAACTATCAAGAAGTTCAAAGGGGACCTGGCCTACAGACGACAGGAGTATCAGGTAGGATCAAACATGTGAGGCTGTGGTACTTGAAATGAGCTTCTGTTGTATCAGTGACAGCATATGTGATAACAATGTACTATGTAATGAGTGTGTGTTTTTTAATGTTTTTAGTTTTTTAATACCTTTATGTATTTATTTATTTTTATGTGATGCTGGGGATTGATCCCAGTGCCTCACATGTGCTAGGTAAGCGCTCTACTCCTGAGCTATCCCCAGGCCCACGAATGTGTTGGTGAAGATGGATTTTTTTTTTTAAATAATCTTAGACTCTCAAGTTTCTATACTGTTTTATGTGGCTTTATATAATTTGCTTTGTTTCCCATAACTCCAAAAAAAGAATCTTTTTGGGGTCCCTGTAGATCTGTTTCCTTAGGTTCAGTAGCTCTCTCATTATTGTGTGTCTCCAGCATAGAAATCTCATGGTGTTACAAGAGCATCTCAGAATGTGTAAGAAAAAAAAAAAATGAACAACTAGGAGCCAGGTTACTTCTCATATTTACATCTTCATGATGATATCGATGGAAAGGTTCTATGGCAAGGTAGCAGCAAAACCAGGATTTGAAGCCTGATCTTTTGGCTCCAGAATGCTGTGCCCTAGGGGGATACTTTCCATTGTCGTGGTCATTGTACCTCCAGCCATTCTATTGAGCAAAGTAGTACTAAGACACTCAAGTTCTTTGTGGGATCAATTATAACATTATTTTCCATCTAGGGAAAAAAAATCACCTGATTATGAGTCCTCTTCTATCTTTCTTTTCTTCTCCTCTTTTTTTAAACAACTAATTGTCAGAAAGCACTGCAGGAGTATTCCAGTATCTCTGAAAAATTGTCATCTACCAATTTTGCCATGAAAAGGGATGTCCAAGAAGGCCAGGCTCGGTGTCTTGCTCACCTGGGAAGACATATGGAAGCTCTAGAGATTGCTGCAAACTTGGTGAGTGGTTTCATTGCTTGTTTTCACACATTTTCTTATACCAAGGACAGTTTCATGGTTTATTTTCAAACGACAAAATGAAAAACTTGCTAGAAGCAAAATGGGTGGATTTGCATAAGCAGAAGAAAATCTTGAGCCGTGTAAGGGCTTTATTATGAGGAACAGTTGGAGCTATAGATATAATCATTTTCTTGTTATGTTTTTCCTGTAATAAGCTTGAAATTTATTGCCTAAGAAAATCTCATTTGCAGAGGTTTATTCTTGGGAAGTGTTAATAGGGCAGGATTATGAGTGATCTATTTTCTTTTTTAGATTTATTTAGGCTCTATGCTCCAAAATTTCTACAATGTACCATATATTACTTCTGTAAGCAGAAGTTATAAAAACATGACTAAATATTCGTTCCAAGTCAAGCTTAATAGTCCTTTTTATTTTTAAGTAGACTTTGCAGAAACTTTATAAGGATAAAGAAAATTTTTTGTAATTTTGTTTGTTTATATTTTCAGATTAGGGCATTTATGGTTTACTTGTTGATTTCTGTGTAAATATTGGTCTAAATTGACCAATATTGACTGGTCTAAATTGACCAGTCATGGTATATAAAGACCAGTTTTCCTTCTCTTTGGGTGTTAGTGAGACACTATCATACAGATCTTGGTCCCCATGGGTGCAGGTCATCAGACGTCAGCCCCAAAAGCATTTACTGAGCTGTCTTTCTCCATCTCATTCACCTTGGTTAGCCCAGGGCTTCACTGCCTAGGACTTGAACCTCTCAAAGTGCAACTGTGGAATTGTTTTAAGAGTGTGAAATCCTGCTGTGTTTTGTTCTTTCTTTCCCCTTCTCTATTAATTGCAAGTTAATCAATCCACTCATTCTTTCTTCCTTCCGTTCTTTTTTTCTTTTTGATGCTGGGGATGGCACCCAGCTCCTTGCATATCCTAGGCAAGCACTCTACCACTGAGCTACACCCCAGCTTTTTTAGTTTTATTTTGAGATGGGGGTCTCACTGAGTTTCCCAGGCTGACCTTGAACTTTTCCTGCCTATCCTCTCAAATGCAGCTTAATCTTTATGCTGGAAAGAAGATAGATTGCACATAGATTGCAAGTGCAATCTATCTATGAACATTGAAGCCAGGATTTAATTGTGCTCATTCCCAGTCTTCCTGGTCTGCAAGTCGACAGCAGCTTGAGCCTTTTCAGACACAGCACTGCTCTGCTTTTCCATCACCTCCTCTTGTTTGGCATCTTTGAACTTCACCCTCTTCCTTTTTCACTAAAGACAGCAGCAGCTAGATTAGTGGCAGGGACCCCAGGTCCCATTTCTGTGGTTCACTCAGTGCATTGTTCCTGTGGCTTAGAGAATGATTTTTTTTTTTTTTTCATTTAGCTCAAGTGGTGACCAGGCAGAAGGCTTCAGTAACATGTCAGGACTTTCAGAACTGGTTATCAGTTTTCTGGGCACCTGCTGGGCAGGGAACTAGTGGTTCTCACCCCTTTTGGGGATCTCTTACATATTACCCTAATGGATACTGCCTATCTATAAGGTTTTCTCATTTCCTAGTAACCTGATGTTTTGTTTTTTAATTTCTTCTCTACTTGAGGTCTCTTATTTTGCTGTTAGCTCAGGCCCAGGACTGTTTTTTCCTCATAGTTATTGTCTTCTCACATTTTGTAGAGGGACAGATCAGTGTGTAATGTTGAACAAAATAGGTAGCAAATCTATATTATATTTGACTATAACTCTTCTGCTTATCAGCTGTGTGGCCTCAGGCAAGATATCTAACCTCTCTGTGTTTACATGTTAATTAACATCTATGGTGGCTGAATAACTATGCTCTGCATATGAATTTAGCATTAAGTAAAAGTTCTCATGGACCTTAATGGTCTTGTTGAGAAGGCTAGACACTAAATAGTAATAAAGAAACAAGGTATATTCAGTCTTTGATGAGGTGCAGTATCACCAAAAGTGTATGGGGCTTTATTTCATATCGTTTCACTTAATTTGGGAATATTCTCAGCCTCCACAGGCTTCCCCTGACTTCGTGCCAGTTGCTCTGGCCTGCAGCGTGGAGTTGGCTCCTGTTGCACTCTCTGAATAGCTGTGTACAGAAACTTGCTCTGGGCACTCACAGGCCAGGTTTTCCTTAGCCTTCACAGCAGCTTGAAGATAATGTTATCTGCCATCTGCTTTCTGCAGACTTTAGAAAAAGCAGGCCTATTTTTCCTAATCCAAAGGATATTTGCCAGATGGCAGGTTAGGCAAGAGGTGGTGGTTCTGGTTAAGGAGACTTAAAAAGGGTTTTCTGATCAGAATGAAACCAAGCAACCTCCTCTGGCCAAAAATGGCTGGCCTTGGTAGAATTAGCAGGGAAGGCATTTGGATTCAATTGTGATGCATCACGAAGCACCCAGGGCTCGGGGCTGTCATGTTCGAGATTTCTAAGCCCAGCAAGATGTCAGATGGACTTAAAAAAAAATTACCTTTTTTTTTTTTTTTGGTACCAGGAATTGAACTAAGGAGTGCTTAGTCACTGAGCTATATCCCCAGGCCCCTTCCCCGCTGCCCTTTTTAGTTGTAAATGGACACAATATCCTTATCTTATTTATTTATTTTTATGTGGTGCTGCAGATCAATCCTAGCACCTCGAATGGGTGAGACAAACTCTCTACCACTGAGCCACAATCCCAGGCCCTCCCCAGCCCTTTTTATTTTTTTCTTTTGAGACAGGGTCTCACTAAGTTGCATAGGGCCTTACTAAGTTGCTGAGGCTGACCTTGAACTTGCAATCCTCTTGCCTCAGTCTCACAAGTTGCTGGGATCATAGGCATACACCATCATGTCCAGCTACCTTTTGGGTTTTTTGAAAGCATGAATGTTAAAATGGAACCATTAGGACAGGGCCTAAGAAAATTGGCTTGGGTCTTTTCAGATGTCTGGCTGAAAACAAAGATAATGATAAAAATTGAATTCAAACTGACATTTATATTTTTTGGTGCTGGACTTGTCACTGTTACATGAATTGTTACTTTATTATGACATTTGGATGTTTGGGATGGCTGATGTTTATTTTGCTAGGTAGTATATATTGCTCTTGGTTTATGGTTTCAAGCTTATGATCCATTGAAGTATATTTAGTTCACTCAGCATGTATGAGTACTGAAAGATACTTCTAATGTATAACATACAATTTATGTTGTATACATTAGACATCTTTTTGAGTATCTTCTATTTTATATGGAAAACACTTTACAGTTACGGTTTTTTATCTTTTTTTTTTTTTCCTTTTCTCTTCAGGAAAATAAAGCTACCAATACAGACCATTTAACCACTGTGCTCTACCTCCAACTTGCTATTTGTTCAGGTTTGCAGAACTTGGAGAAAACAATTTTCTGCCTGCAGAAACTGATTTCTTTGCATCCTTTTAATCCTTGGAGCTGGGGCAAATTGGCAGAGGCTTACCTGAATCTAGGGCCAGCTCTCTCAGCATCGATTGCATCATCTCAGAGACAGAACAATTTCACCTCAAGTAATAAAACTGTCCTGTCCTCCTTTCCACACTCAAGAAAGGACTGTATTTTGTGTTTCCCTGAAACTGTGCCTGAGAGCTCTGTGCTTTCTGTGGAAGCAAGTGTCAGGAATGGCCAGAAAATCGAGAAAGCTTTTAAAAACAGTCAGAATTGTGTGACTGGAAAGGGAGAAGCAGTGTTGATAGAGACTCAGATGAAAGCATGTGCCTCTCTGATTCGAACCAGGTAAGCTGAGTGGTGTGACAGGGTGGGGAAGGAGCTCAGGGGAAAGGCTTCATTTATTTCATATATTTCATTTATTTCAAAAAGTTCTAAGCAAGACTTGGTGTGTGTTTTTGAATTTTTCCTATGATCTAGACAGACCCCTTTGAACATGTGTCATTTCATTGTGTAAAACTTTGAAACATTATTAGTTGCTCAAGAATACAACTGGGGGGCTGGGATTGTGGCTCAGAGGCAGAGTGCCTGCCTCGAATATGTGAGGCCCTGAGTTTGATCCTCAGCACCACATAATAAATAAATAAAATAAAGGTATTGTGTCCATTTCCAACTTAAAAATAAATAAATAAATAAATAAATATAAATAAAAGAATACGGGGCTGGAGTTGTAGCTCAGTAGTAGAGTGCCTGCCTCGCACGTGTGAGGCACTGGGTTCAATTCTCAGCACCACATAAAAATAAATAAAGATTAAAAAAAAATGAATACAACTGGGATGAGTGCTCAGTGTAGAATGTTAAAATTGGAAAACACTAAAAAAAAATTAGGAAAATTAAATTGGAAAAGGGAGAACAGCTGTTTTAAAGAAGGAAATTTTTATTCATATATTCCAAAGAAATCTGAAGAAAATCTGCTGTTGTGTTTGAATTGCTGATCATGTGAATAAACAGTTCTAAATTCATTCTACAGAGAATTCCCGTGGTTTGCCCCTAAGGACGCCAAGTACTTTGAATCCTTAAGGTATAGAATTTGAGAAGAAGGCAGGGAAAATACCCTTAACGAGTTCTATAATTTATGAGAGAAGAGGTAGACACCATCTTGAGAACATAGAGGTTGTTATATTTTCTCTCTGGAGAATTCAAGAACTATTAACAATGAGGCTTAAGCGAGAAGTGGCATCTATTTGGCAAATTTTAAAATTTATTTCATAGATACTTAGTTGGCATTGACTGTGTCACTTTTATTCAGAAGCATGTGTGCCAGGCTCTTGCTTGGTACTAGGATCATAAAGATTGTTTAAAACAAAACAAAACAAAAAAACAGTCCCTTTCCTTACAATGTTGTAATTATCTAGTCAGTGACTGGCACACAGGTGCTAAATAGCTTATCAGTAGTGTGAGCAGAATTCCATGGGGAACAAGATAAGGGAGCTGTTGGTGTGGCAGGAAGAACCAAGTCTTCAGAGACTTTCCAGGGGATGGTGTTTCTGCCAAATGTACCTGGTGGGAATGCTCACCAACCAAGGACTAAGTAATCCTTGCATGATTTCATCTTAATCCTCATGACTGGGGTTACTGTTAGGATCCTATTTGATGGACTAGGAATCTATTAAAATCATTCCTAAAGTGGCAAAGCTGTGAAGTCCAGGGCCATCATTAGATGCAGTTCTTGCTCATTCCTTGTTATAATCCCAAGGCAAGGGAAGGCATGCAGAGTAAAGAGAAAGCACAGCCCAAAGGGCCAGGGGTGCTGGTGTAAAACAGCCACAGTCTGGTGGTAAGAACAGCATGTGGTAGGTAGTCTGTAGACCATGCCAGAAGCAGAGGAGGTAAGAGGTAGGACTTTGGAGTCTGATCTGATTTTGAAGAACTCAGTGAATTGTTGATGTTGAGTGAATGAACCTGGGCTGTTCCACTTGCCAGCTGTCTGACCTTGTGCAAAACTCTCTGGGCTCCAGGCTCCTCCTCTTCATAGATGGAGGAATAGGGGAAATGCCTACTTTGTGGGGTTGTAGTATTAAAGTATCTAAGTACTTACTGTACTGTGCAGTATATAGTAGGCAAATGATAGATGTTATCTTTTCGTACTTTTGTAGCTATTGGATTTATTATTATTATTATTAGCACAAGATGTTAGATGTCATCTTAAAAGATTTTGCTCCTTGAGCTAAAGACCTGGAGAGTATTTGAAGGTGGTGAGATCAGAGCAGTGATTCAGTGTGAGACCTGGTGGCTGGGATGATGGTCTAGAAGAAGATATTTGGAATTGGGGACACCAGTGAAGAGGCAGTGGAATGATTGGTGAATAGCGGTAGAGTCTTACCTAGTATGGTGTAGAGGAAACAAAAGAAGAAAATTGTGTCCTTGCAGTATGGAATCCACAAGATTTGGAGGCCCGCTGAGTGTGAGGGGATGGGTGTGAGGAGAAAGGCAGTTTGTCCTGGGTGGATGGTGCTGCTTTTTGCTGAGATTAGACACACAGGATGACCGGGCAGATTCAGGGTGGAAGGAATGATATAGGCTCAACATCTGTGGCACACCCATCTGGAGTTGTTCATTAGGAAATAAAAGTCACACTTCGAAGAAGGGAGCTATGGATTAGAAGGAGATCAGCAATTGGGTGGTTGTGGAGGTCAAGTAGGATTACTTGAGAAGAGGGCTTGAGAACTAGGAGGTCGTCTGTGCTGTTAAGCAGCTGATTTCAGTAGGAGGACAGGGAGAGAAGAACAGCTGCAGAGGGCTGAAGGTTGAGAATGAATGAACGTGGTATAGAAAGGAAAAGCTCTGTTTTCAAATGACTACAAAGACAGGGAAGAAAGCAAGTATGGCAAAATGGTCACTGCTTCCTGCCACAGGGCAGGTGACATGAACAGGTTGTGCTGAGACAGCAGTGCGTCTTTGTACCTGCTCCTATAGAAAGCGCCATTGCAGTGCTTCAGTTCCACGTTTGTCTTTGTCTGTTAGCTGAGGCTATAACAGAATACTGCTTAATTTATCAAGAAAGAAACACAGCTGGGTGCCATGGCACATACCTGTCATTCTTGTGACCCAGGAGGATCACAAATTGAAGGCCAGCCCTAGCAACTCAGCAAGAACCTGAGCAACTCAGTGAGAAACCGTCTCAAAAAAAGGGCTGGGAATGTAGCTCAGTGGTAGAGCCTAATCTCCAATGCCAAAAAAGAAGAAAAAAAAATTATTTCTCCCAATCCTGGGGCCTGGGAAGTCCAAGATCAAGTGCCAGCCTCTGATGAGGGTCTTCCCATTCTGCTATCATGATGGAGGGCATCAGATGGCAAGAGAGAGCATGCACATGTGGACCAGAGAGGAAGTCAGCTGAACTCATGCTTACACCAGGAACCCACTCCCAACACAGGGTTTTAATGCATTCATGCACTTAACTCTTAAAGGTCTTGTGCCTGGACACTAACACAGTAGCAGTCAGGTTTTGACAGGAATTAGGGAATATTTGCTCCATAGCAGCATTTTTTCCCCTGGCTGTGCCATGGCCATATTGATGATCTTTCTAATTTTCTCACACATCAAACTTCTTCTGTCAGGGCCTCCTTCCCCGTGGCCAGGAGGCCCCTTCCCTCAGACATTCTCCTAGCTGGTGCCCTATCAGTTAGGTCTTGACTTGGATGGTATCTCGGGAAACCTTTCTGCACTGTCCCATTCTAAGGACACATTCTCGTGGATTATTTTTTGTGGCACTTTTAACTACCTGAAATTATGCTTGTGTGTTCTCTCCTTCCGTTCTGTGAGGCCAGCCATACTGTCTTCTCTCCAGTATCTCTCAGTGTCTGGAGCCATGTCTGGCACTGCTCAGTACACAAAATGAGTGAATAGCAGAGCCTGGTACTCCTGGGCATGCCACAGGGACCAGTGAGGCCAGAGGGAAATGGGAAAATCTGCACATTCTCTATAAGAAGGAGGAGGAGCCACATGAGGATGGAGGCGGGAACAGCAAGAGAGGGGACCAGGTTAGGATCACCGTGGGACATCAGTGGTAAGGCAGTTGCAGAGTAGTGGTAAAAGGGTCATCAAAGGTTTGGCCCTGCTTTGGGTAATTGAAGTTACTAGGGAAGCTAATTAGTCTTTGAGGTCCAAATGCTGTGAGGTCCAGGGAATGGAAGAGTCATAAAACCCTGGCTTCAAAGAAACAAATCTACGTGGTGGGGGGCGGGGGGAGTCTGACTGGAAAGTGGTTTTTCTCAATCTAAATTGTATGTGCTGTTAGCCACTTGCCTTCCACAGGGAGCTCTTTTGAGGTATTGCTGGCTAAAGCTCTCTCTCAGACGTTTTGATCTATTGACTTCAGAAAAGATGAATTTCCAGCATAAAGATGGGCAGTTTATTCAGGGTAAGGAACTATAGGAATTCAAGTGAAAGTTCTGTTGAGGGTTGGCCTTCTCGAGCCTTGTGGGGCTCATTACTGTCCTGTAGTGGAGCCCACTCATGGGGACTTTTTGGTTTTTTAGACTTTTACTTCAGTTCACCCAATCGCAACAAACATCATTTGCTTTGGAGAAGAACCTAAGGACCCAACAGGAAATTGAAGATAAAATGAAAAGTTTCAGCTTCAAAGAAGACACTTTGCTGTGGATCGCTGAGGTAAGTGTACCCCTTGGGTTTATAAGACACAAGGCATCAGATATTTTTCCTGGCTCTGACACCATTTTTATAAGGAACAACCAAATCCCATCTACAGAAGGTCTGTGTCTCCCTCCTTTATGTCACTCGAGTGGCCTCTTCACCATCCTTACCCTGCAGTGAGCCTGCCTGTAGGGCTGTTCTGTGCTTGCCAGTACTTGTTGGCGCCTGCCTGCTGGGACACCTGAATGCCCTTCATTGTTTCAATGCTGAAGAAACTAAAGGATGAATGCTCACATTTATGCCAGGTTTATATGCTTTTCCTCCATTCATTCTCATAGCTGGTGAGGACAGATGGAGCTGGAATAGAGGCCCAGGGAGGTTGTAACTCCCCTGAGGTTGGACCTTAAGTGGTAGCACTTGTCTAAAACCAGTGTGGGTCAGCTGCAAGTTCGTTTTCTTTCTGCTCCACCCTGTCACTACTTTGGTGGTTGCAGAGAAATACAAATGTCATCATTTGCATCCTATATTAACTTTCTTTTTTAAAAGCTGGATTTTGGGGGCTGGGGATATGGCTCAAGCGGTAGCGCACAAGCCTGGGCATGCGTGCGACCCGAGTTTGATCCTCAGCACTACATACAAACAAAGATTTATGTCCGCCAAAAACTAAAAAATAAATATTAAAAAAAATTCTCTCTCTCTCTCTCTCTCTCTCTCTTTTTCTTTCTCTCTCTCTCTCTTTAAAAAAAAATGCTGGATTTTTGTAAAGTACACTGTTGAAATTTTTTAAAGATGGCACTTGAGATTATGTTTTAAGCTCTTCGTGCTACTTCCTTTCAGTACACAACGGAAACTTGACAGCTCTGGTACTCTTCCCTGAGAATGACTTCACCCGTATACTTCCTATTGTCATTCTTTCAAAAAGTCTTATTATGCTGGGTGTGGTGGTGGTGACTCCTGCCTCAAAAGAAAAAATAAAAAGGGGTGGGGGATATAGCTCCATGGTAAAATGCTCCTGGGTTAATCCTAGTACCAAAAGAACAAATAGATAAAGATTTTAAAAAGTATTTATTGCGAAGCTAGGGTTGAAGTTGGGTGCTAGATCATCTGCCTTGCGTGCCTGAGGTCCTGGGTCTTATAACCAGCAAGGGAAAAAAAGGTACTTAACTGCAGATCTCTACTGCCAGTCTTCTTTCTCTCTTCCCAACACTAAGCTGACTCATTATGAACTTTTCCCTGCCTTCTCTGTCTGCTCTCCTTTGGCCTTTGTAACTTCCTGCCTCCTATAGGGTTTTTCCCTTGAGCCCTTGGATACACACAGACACCTGCCTCTTGTAATTGTATCTCAGCCTTTCCTTAGTCTTTGTTTTCCTTTATCTTTGCATAGAATGTCTGTTGGCCACTCACTTTTTTTTTTAGTTGTAGTTGGACCTTTATTTAATTTATTTATTTGTATGTGGGCAGAAGATGGAACCCAGTACCTTGCATGTGTTAGGAAAGTGCTCTACTGCTGAGCCACAATCCCAGACCTGGCCACTCATTTTTAAATCATCTCTTTACTTCTTAGAGGCTACACTACCCTGTTTATCTCCTATATTTCTCTCTCTCTTTTCCTTCCTCCCTTTTTCCTCCTCTCTCCTACCCCTTCCTCCCTTTCCTCCCTTCCTTCCTTCCTTTGTCTCATTCCACTCTGTCCTCAGCTTCATTTTCATTCTTGGGTTTCCCACGCTGGGCTCAAGTACTGGCCTCAAATGATCCTTCTGCCTCAACCTCCTGAGCAATTAGGACTACAGGCATGGGCCACCATGCCCTGCTGTTTAGTGTTCCTCTGCCTCTTGGGACTCCTGGTTTCTTCTGTGGCATGACGTTCTCTAAGGTTTCACTTCAGTTTTCTGTTCTCTTTGCCTTTCTTTCCCATCTCTGAAATCGTAATGGTGCCCATGGTTTCGGTTGTCACCTTGGCGTTGGTGACTTTCAGTCTATGTCTCTTGCCTCAGCTCTGGAGCACTGTCTCACATCTCTGGTTGGTTACTCCTGGAGGTAACTGAGATAGTTATTGATTATTCTACTGTCACTTCCAGTGACGTGAAAGCACTTACGTCAGTTTTGCAGACTCCCTCAGGAAGAGGAGGAGCATTGGAAAGAGTCATCTGACTTAACTGTTTTTCTTTGATACTGTCTGTCCCTCTTCTTTCCAGACTTGGAACCTCACTGGCTCTGGGCCTCTTTCTGTCTAGGGTTAGCCTTGCCAGTCACCCACCAAAGCCCACACTCCTTCAGCTTCCATCTTTGGTTTCTGTTCCACATTAGCAGCTAGTCTTCTCCACCTGAGGTTGACTCTCACGGTGGCCTCTGTCTCACCTCACCTTGCTTCCTGGCTTTTCCCCCTGAGTGTATCTTGACTTGCTTTGATGATGTTACCTATTTGTTTAAAAACTAAGATGAGTCCCTGTTACCTCTGAGGTCAGGTCTGATCTAGGATCTTTAATGTGATATCCAAGGCCTTGCAGAGTGTAACCCCAAACTTACTAACCAAGAATTCCTTACCCAGTCTTTTGCCACCACTAGACTAGTCTTTCCATCTCTAGCAGACCTTTCCTGGGGCTTCCTGTCTCTACCTGCTTAGCTTCTCATCCTCAGATCTCAGCTGAGGTCCCATACTTTGGGGCAGCTTTCCTGGATACTCTTGCCTGTGGTGATTTTTCCTTCTTTAAACTCAGATAAAGTGGTTGCTTGAAAAGATAGCTCTCTGAACCCTAAAAAGTTACAGGAATGTGTCTCATCTCTTCATCTAAATTCTAGGTCTTCATAAGCCAGACCATGTCTTAAACATCATTATGTTCTTCCCATGCTGGGGAAATCTGTCACTTGAGTGGGATGATAGTTCTGTGCTTAGGCGATGCATCTGACATACCTGTGGAACTTTTCAAAAGTAATGAATATCTGGACCCTCTTTAGGATTATTTGTATTATACTCCCTTCATTTTAATTGACTTATGATATAACTTAGACCCTATAGGCTTAAATATTCTTTGATTGCATACTTTTACTTTTTATTTTTAGTTGTTTTATTTGAATTGAGATCCAGATAAAGTCTACATACTATACTTGGTCCTTTTGTCTCTTTATATATCTTCTATTTTGAGATGGTTCTTCCCTCCCCCCTTTTTTTTACTTTGATAAAATATATGTAGAAAGCGTAATATTTGCCATCGTAATCATGTTAAGCCTACAGTTCAGTGACATTAAGTAGTTCACAGTGTTGTCCCACCATCACCATTGTATTTCCAAAATTTTTCCATCCCCCCAAACAGAAACTTATAAACCCATTAAGCAAAGCCTCCCCATGCCCTCCTCCCTCTACCTCTCATATTCTCTAAACTACTTTCTGTGAATTTACTATTTTTGGTTTTTCAAATAAGGGGAGCCATACAACATTTGCCCTTTTGTGTTTGGCTTAGTATACTGTTGTCAAGGATTGTCCATTTGATAGCATATACCAGAACTTCATTCATGGCTAGGCATTGTGGCACATGACTGTGGTGTAGAAGGCTAATGTAGGAGAAATGCGAATTTGAGGTGAGTCTGAGCAGATTAGTGAGACCTTGTCTCAAAATAAAAAATAAAAAGGGGTGGGGGTAAAACTCAATGGTAAAAAGTGCTTGCCTAGCATGTGTGAGGCCCTGGATTTATTCCCCAGTACTGGGAAGATCAAAGTGAAACAACCTCATCCCTATATGTGTATGTGCCATGTTTATCCTCATCTGTTGATGGATACGTCTGGGTGGTTTCCACCTTTTGGGTATTGTGAATAATATTGCTTTGAACATTAGTATGCATGTATGTTTGTGTCCCTGTCTTTTAAGGATGTATATCTAGGAATAGAATTGCTGGGTCATATAATGTAACTCTGCTGAACATTTTTAGTAACTGCCAAACTTATTTTTTGTAACTTTTACCTAACACTGTGACATGGGTATAATTCAAGATTCTTAAATATTATTTGAGTACATAATTTTTAATGGCTAGATCCATCCAGTTTTTGAATGAACTATAATTTATTTACTTACTCCCCTATGTTGAACATGTAATAAGTATTTGGTACTTCTTTGAATCTAGGAAGTCATCAGTTGTAAAACATTATTATTTGATGTGCCACTAAAAGAAAAATAAGATGCCATTTACACTGTGATGCATCATAAACTACATCTTGATTTCAGAGATGTCAAAATTCAAAGAGTATCTTAGACCTGATAAAATATCATCCTTTAATAAATATTCTATATCTCATTGCAGTTTCCTCCAAAATGTGTGATCTGTGAAGATTCAAACCCACTGAGAACCATTTTTTTATTGTATTTCTAATTAAGTAGAGTTTTCATGAAATTGGATCTCAGGTTTGCAGGAGCCATAGAAATCATCTAGTCCAAATCCATGTTACTAAATTTCTTCTGCATTCGTGCTTGACCACTCTATAATATTCTTTCATGCCAAATGGTATTAAATGTTTTAGAACTTAATTTTAGTAAGGCTGATCACTTAGAAGCTTGTGAAGGTCTTCATAAAAAAGTATAAAATAGTTTAGCACCACTTCCAACATTTTGAAGATGTCAGGTAAGGCTTTCTAGAACTTAACTTTGTGAGTCTTACCAAAGAGAAACTAACCCAGAATCTGGGGATGTGACCCTGTGTTCATCCTGGCCTGATTCTGACCAGTAGGGGGCAGTGTTGTGCCTTCATTGGGTAACTGTGCTTGTTAAATTTACAAGATTGGGTAGGCTTCAGCGGGATCATGGTCTCCTTTTGGGTCAGGAAAAGGCAACCTAGCTCCTACTACTCAATTGTTTGCTGCTTTTGATGGCTTTAGGGAACTTGTAGGTGATAGGAACCTGTGCCCCATGCACAGCTGCAGTCATATTCTGCCCAAGCTCTGCCTGGTCCTCTCAGCTGTTTTCCAGGAGGGAGAGTCACTTGTAATTGCATTCTCACTGAGGGCATGTGTCTTGATAGAAAAAGGTTGATTTGATGCTCCCAGGAGGCCAGATGGTACCGCAGCTGCATGAGGACAGGCTTCAGCAATTCTTTCACTCGGGAGGAAGAGTGGAAATATGTGATGGTTTACATACATGATCCTTGGATGACAAATTCTGAATAGACATCTTTTGAATGTCTTGAGAGTGTTCCCTGGTGGCTAAAGTACTTTCCCTTTTTGTATGAAGGCCTTTGTGGTTGATGAACAACCTTATCTTCTGTTCCATGTCTGCTGCCTCTTTTACTGGGACAGTATTTTTTTTCTTCTGCTACAGGTTATGGGAGAAGATATCGTTCAGGAAAAAATAAAAGAAGAAGTTCACTCAGAGGTGAAGAACATTGGCTCTGCAGCTCTGACTGCCTTGGTGACTGCATCCTCGAAAGAATTTGAAGACAAGTGGTTCAGAAAGATCAAAGACCATTTCTGTCCCTTTGAAAATCAGTTCCATACAGAGATACAGATCTTGGCTTAGAGGTCCATTTAAAAACAAAAACATCTTGCACAGTATTAATTGTCCTTGTTTACTTCAGACAGGATCTGCTGAACATGGAAAAAGTGAATTTATAATTATGACTTCTTTCCCAGATAATTTATACTGACAGTGCATTTAGTGTATTTTGCTCTTTTTAGATTTCTTGCTTTCCCTATATATTGTATCATCGGCCTACTTCCCTTTGAAGGCATCTGCTGGGAAAGCAAATAAGAGACTTTCATATCGTATGGTCTCTTAAAGACAGTTACTGTATTGTAGCTAGCAGTGTAAGAACCCACTTTTTTTCTTCAGGTAAATTCATCAGCAGTGTTCAAGAATGTTGAAATATGAGAATAAACCATTTCTAAGTAGAGTGTATCAAGAACTGCAAAGGGTGCCTATAATCCCAGTGGTTCAGGAGGCTGAGGCAAGAGGATTGTGAGTTCAAAGCCAGCTCTAGTGAAAGCAAGGCACTAAGCAACTCAATGAGACCCTGTCTCTAAATAAAATGTGAAATAGGGCTGGGGATGTGGTTCAGTGGCCTAGTGCCCCTGAGTTCAATCCCCGGTACCAAAAAAAAAAAAAAAAATGCAAAGGATCTAAGAGTTTACCCTAATCTGAAAGCTATCAAGTTAGCCTGCCACAGCCTTGGTGCTGAGAGAAGACAGGAGACTTCTAGATCAGAGATAAAGGGTTTCATAACACAAGGTCCAGCGAGCAGTATGAGCTCCAGCATGTTTGCATCAGCTCCTCTTTCCTGTGGGTCTCATGGAGCTGTCACACATGGGCACACATGAATGCCTCCAACACCTCCTATAATGTGCACTGTATGGCTTGTGTTACTGGAGAGAAGCCCCGAGTTAGTAAACTCCAGTCTGTTGCAGTGAGTAGTAAGCATGCTTGCCCTTTGCGCCAGAAGGAGACACTGTCTCCTTTGCTGTGCAGACATCTTTGAAAGACAGCCTGGAACAGAGAGTATCAAGTGCATTACGTACAAGACATGCAGAAACGGGAGAGACTCATGGAACATTGTCATACAAAGAGCCTTTGTTTTTGGTATCAGGGATTAAGCTCAGGGGGTCTCGGCCACTGAGCCACATCCCCAGCCTTCTTTTGTATTTTATTTAGAGACAGGGTCTCACTGAGTTGCTTAGTGCCTCGCTTTTGCTGAAGCTGGCTTTGAACTTGAGATCCTCCTGCCTCAGCCTCTCAAGTGGCTGGGATTACAGGCTTGCGCCATCATGCCTGGCAAAGAGGCATTAATTTACTGAATGAATAATCTGTGATGGAGGAGCTCACTTATAAATGGAATTTAATAATAAACCCATACCTCATCAAATGTCCTGCACAACTTATTTTTCTCAACAGAGGGCAAAGACTCCAGCCCAGGGCATAAGGCGGAGTCCTCAAGATTTCCAACCACACTCTCTTCCAGCTTGCTTCACCTTTCCCACTACCCTCCTTCCCCCAAATGGGCTGGTTTAGTGTGCCCATCAATTGCAAGTTTAGCCCTTCATCTCTGAGATGAGATGAAAGACTGTATAATTAATAGATATTTCAATTTTAAGAACCATTAAAACTTAGGAAAAATCCCTCAACAGCCCCCAGTGCCCTCCCTCCATTCATTCACCTGCTAGCCATTGTTTATTAGCTCCTGTTATGTGTCAAGCATGCTGTCTGTCGTGGAGTTTGTGGTCTAGTTGTGGATTGCCCTGGCCTGAGGGCATTTTTAGCTCTCAGGCTGCCCTCCCAGACCCACATCTTCACTATCCTGATGGCCCTAGTGATCTTCGTGGATCCTGCCCACACCTCACTCCCGCCCGCCTCACCTCCCTGGCAGTGGCGTATAGATGCAGGTGAGGACTAGGCCTGCTAACCTCCGATGCCTGGCTGTCAGGAAGAGTGGGGAAAGGACGAGGAAGATAGGGCCCTTCTGGGTTTCATCATACAAAGTCCTCATGGCCATTTCCAGCACACATGGCGGAGGCGTGAAGGTGGGCAGTGACTGCTGAGGAAAGGCCTTCAGGCCTGCCTGTTCAGACGCCTGCCCTGTCAGCGAGTGAGGCACTCAGGATGAGCAAATGGCTGCCACAAATGTGACTGCACTCTGGGTGGGTGGGTGAACCCAGACCAACTCCTTCCCTCTTGTGCTCACACAGGCCTATCTCTGGTGTTTTCTCCCAGGGAGAACTCTGCTGGGTGCCTGAGCTGGTGAGAGGCTTTTTTTTCCCTTTTACATTCTTAGACCTCTATGACTTCATGCTGGAGCCAGAGTCTTACAGAAACCATATCCAAGTCCTTCATAAGGCCTATGAGGCCCTCTGCAGCCTGGCCCTGGCCCATGAGTTCTCACTCATTCTGCCCACTTGGTACCATTCTGGTTCTGGCTCCCTCTCACATCCTTGGGCTCCTCAGGCTTCCTTTATTTAAGCCCTTTGCCCACTCAGTAACCTCTACTTGGCACATTCTCCCCTGCTTCTACCCCCGCCCCCAACCTCCACCCTGTCTACACTTTGCTTTCCTACAGATATCAGCTCAGAGGTCACTGTTGGGATATTCCTGATTCCAAAAGTAAGAGTGCCCTGTGCTTTTGTCCACGTGATTGTAAGAGTTAAATAATTCGTTGTGTGATTCCTCCTTGCCAGATCATTGGCTCTCGGATGCTCTCTCTGCTTTACCCTTTAATGGTGGAGCTCAGCCTTAGTCATGCTGTGACTTCTGCCACTGCTGCCTCCCTGGAGCATTAGCTCTTATAGAGGCAGCCTGAGCATGGACCCAGAAACTCACAGACCCATCCCTACAGAGCCTGACACCAGGACCAAAGGTGTCCTGTATCCACCTGTGCAGTTTCAGGAAAGATGTGCTTCAGTTCAGGAAAACAGGTCAAAATCTACAAATGAATCCCAGGCCACAGTAGACAAAGAGATCATTTTAAAGAGCAGCTTTCCCAGTGCTTTTGAAATTCAGTCTATGAAAGTAGTTTCCACTCTGCTTTGCAGCTCTGCTGGTATGGCTGCGCGTCCAGTTGAGTCAGAGGCAGTGAAGCTTGCCTTCTCTGTGCCTGGCCCTATCCCCTGGCTAACCCAGGCCTTCGGTTAGTGTTGTGGACCCAGTGAAGCTGGAGGAATGCCCGAAGCCAGAAGAACAACAGTCCAAGCAGTGGCAGCTCCAATCCTGTCTTCCCAAAGGGCAGCCGCTGGCAGACTTCTTGAAGGGGAGTGGGGAGAAACAGGGCAGGCATTCGTCTTCCTTGTTCTTTTTTCTTCCTCAAAACAGAATGGCTTCATCGCCTAAAATGTTGGTGCTCTGTGCTCAGCTTCTGAGCTAGTGACTACCTGCCTGCTTCATGGGAACCACTCTCTGGCTCACAGTGGCGGATACCTGGCTGCCATATTGGTACTCATCCACCCTAACTGCTAGGGAGTGGCAGAAGTTACCTGACCCAAGCTGAAATAATTAGATTCTCTCCAAGGGCTTCAGAAGTAGATTCTTCTTGTGTATCCAAACCTAACAGGCTCAAAAGCTGAGAGAGGCATGCTCTTTGCTAAGGTGACAGGAGCAGGAAGAGAGATCTGCAGAGACAGAAAATTCAGGTGATCCCCCAAAAGGGGCAGAAGGGACAGTTGTCTGCTTTGTTGCTTCCTGATTTCAGTTCGTTCTTGGACTCTAGAGCCTGCTTGACGTCTCCATGAGTATAAGTAATTCTCCCCCAAAGATGTCTAACCCCTAACCCCCAGAACCTATAACTACATTAGGTTACATGGCAGAGGGGAACTAAGCTTGTTAATTGGCTGACTTTAGGGGATTATCTTGGATGATCTTGGTGGAACCAAGGTAATCACCAGGGTTTTGAAAAATGGAAGATGGCAGCATATGGAATAAGACAGAAATACTATGTTGGTAGCTTCAAAGATGATGGAAAAGGCAAGGAAATGTTTTTCTCCTAAAGTGTCCAGGAACACAGCCCTGCTGACACCTTGATTTTAGCCCAGAGAGATCTGTGTCAATTCTGAACTATAGAACTATAAGGTGATATATCTGTGTTGTGGTCATGTGTTAGCAATAGAAAATAAGGCAAAGTAATCCCTAAATGAAGGTCACTCGAGCTGGTTTCTGTTACCTACAACCCAAGAATCCTACTCTGGATGGCTTGCATCTTTTACTCTTGGTTTTGGAATAATTATTCTGTGCCTCACAAGGCATTTTCTTTTCTAAATAATATTCTTTCACTCATTTATTTAATGGTAAAAATGCGACCATTGTTGAGTAGGATTGTTGCAGGAGGGACCAAAGAGAAGAAGCAACAGGTGCCCTCAAGGAGCATATCTACAGTAGAGTCATGGACATCCACAAAAGCAGAAGAGAAGAAGGGGCTGGGAGGGAGGTCTGGATAGTGCAGAAGTGCTGAGGAGGGCTGGGGCTTTCAAAGAAGTTTCTGGAAGGAGGAAATCTGATTTGGACCTTAGAAGAGGGAAGGATTTGCTGCAGGCTCAGCGGAGAATCAAAAGCAGCCACATCGGGGTCCTAAGTTGAGGGGTAGCAGGAGCGTAGACCTGGAGGAGGCCATAGCAGGTATGAAGGGCAGTGAAGATGGGGCAGATGAGCCATTGCCAAATTATGAAGCTTCATGAATGCCAAGATAAGAAAGCCGACTTTTCTCAGAGGGCAACTGTGAGCAATAGACGGCTTTTGAACAGGGGAATGGCTGGTTTAGGGTTGTGCTTTGGAAGGGGGAATCTGGTTTTACTTTCCAAATGTTAAACAATCTTTGAGCTTCAAACAATGTGTGTCTCCTGGGCCTACAGAGTCCCAGATATGAACCCCAACATGGAGGAGGCCGACTCCAGGTGCCTTAGGGAACTGGTGTTACTATGGAGTTTGTGGGCCTCTAGCAGCTCCCTCTACACCTGGGATACAGCCAGACTCGCCCAGGGCTGTGCTGCTGTCTGACGTGCAGGCCACAGCTCTATGGGCAACTCCTCCTCAATTGCAGGTCTCAGCTCCTAGGTCTCCCCTCATACAGACCTTCCCTAACCCCTGTCACTCCTTGTCACTCTCTCCCAAACCAACAAACCACAGGTCGGGGAATGCACACACTGGTGGCAAGGAGGCTGTTGATGCTGTCATAGGTGCTCTGAGTCAGGACCTTGTCTCTGTCCCTGGCACATTTTAGGCCAGTTGAGGGTTAAGTACAAGCAGGCCCTTTGGAGTAGAAACCAAGGCCGGCCTCCCTAAGCCCAGACCTGCAGGGCTCCACATCCATTTTCTCTTGGCAATCTAGGATGTGTGGACTAGAATATTCAGGAAGGAAAGGTTTCGTTGATGTGCCTTCCTACTGTGCTCACAGTGAGGGCTCCCAGAATGAGTGCTTGCCCTGCCAGCACCTCGGGAAGCTGCCCTGGCCTTGAACCAAGGGCCACTGCATGCTGGAAGACCAGCCACCAGAAGTCAGCCCTACTCTGCTAGTGGTGAAATAGGGCTGACCGCGAAGACTCCATGGTCAGCTCTCCCCACGTGGGGCTGGAGAGGGAGGGGTCTGCGTCTGCTCAGGTGTTGTGGAGAAGTAGGGCAAGCTGGGTGGGAGGAGCAGCCTGGGATGGACATCCAGGGCCCCTCTGGCATCTGAGCCTCTATGGGAGAGCTCCTGACAGGGCTGACTTGTGTGCCTGCCAAATTCACGTGGTGAAGTACTAAACCCAGCACCTCAGAAGGTGACTTTAGTAGGAGATACAGACTTTAATCCCTAGTACCGGATTCTGTATTAGAGTTCTCTGGGGTAAAAGAAACAATGAGATAGCTGAGGGGATAGATAGTTTGTGGGAGGCTGACATAGCATGTGGCCAGTGTTTGCTTCCCCTCCTGATTGGTGTGGCACTGTCATCACCTTGTGATCTGGTTGCTTAAGTAACCGAAGACCATAGCCCCGATCTTGAGGGTAGAGAAATCGCAAATGTGTCTCCGTGCATGGATGTGCCTTCCCACAGCCAGCCCATGGGTCGAGCTACACTCACCTGTTCCTTTGTGATATTACCCCTTGCTCTGTTTGGGATAGAATGTTCCATGAAAATGCCCTTTGTGTGTCCCTTCTCTTACTCTCCCTTGGGTGTGGCCTTCCTAGATGTCAGCCTGCTGACAGCAGACATCATGAAGCTAGCCTTAGCCCCTTGAAACCTGAACCCTGGCTTCATTTGAATGGCTTCTCAATAAAAGGGGTCAGCACACGCTCACTTGCCCTCTCTTTCTGTGGACCCTTAAGGGCAGCGGAGCCATCATAGCACCCCCAAAGAAAAAAGTATCTCTGTCTCTTATGTGGTTATCTCATGCAGCCCAGTTCCCCTGGGGTGACCGGGGGTGTTTTAGTCACGTGCAATGCGGCAGGTGGCGTTCCTGGGAGGGCAGGTTTGAGTGTTTAAGTCGCGGGGAACGCGACAATAGTTGATAGATGAGGAGGAATTGGCTCATGTGATTATGGAGGCTGTCTCAAGCTATCTAAGCTGGAGACCAGGAAGCTCCTGGCATAGTCCCTGTCTAAAGGCCACAGGCTTAGGACCGGAAGAGCTGATGTCTCAGGTCAAGTCTGAAGGCGAGAGAAAAAAGCAGTGTTTTAGGTTGGTAGCCATCAGGCAGGAGGAATCCCTCTTCCCCGCAGCAGAGTTGATCTTTTTGTTCTTTTCAGTCTTTCAGCTGACTGGATGAACCCACCTCTGTTGGGGAGGGCAATCCGCTTCCCCAGTCTAGGAGCCAAATGTCAATGTCATCCAGAGACACCCTGAATAATGTCTGACCGGATATCTGGGCACGGTCAGATTGACACAGTGAATCATCTAAGTCCACCCCTTGTCAGCTTGGCACCTGCACACTGCTCCTTATTCTCCTAATCCAATTTGGCTTAAGTGACAGGCTTATAAGAAGAGGAGAGGGGACACTCACGGACACGCCTGTGAAGAGGCAGCAGGAAGGGGGCCACCTGCAAGCCAAGGAGAGGCATCCGAGGAACGTACCCTGCCAGGACCTTGATCTTAGACTTCAGCCTCCAGAACTAAGAGGAAAAAAAAAAAATCCTGTTGTTCAAGCAGCCTTGTCTGTGGTATCTGGGTTCCAGCAGCTCCAGGAGACCCTGTCCTCTGAGGAGACTGGGGCTCCTTCACTCTTCCCTGGCTGCCCTCTTTCCTTGGTCTGCAGCAGATCCCGTGCCTCCAGGGCTTGCCTTGCCTTTTCCTCTTTGATCCTGGAAAGTCAAGGGAGAGGCCTTGCTTGTGTTTTTAGGTGGGACTTAGAGGGTGGGGTTCCATGAGCTTGGTCTTCTTCATTAACTCCCCTTTCAGGGGAAGGTTCTAGAAATCTGCTCCCAGCCTGGGAGGTGTCTCTGCAAAGGGCACCCTGGCCTGTCTTGGGAGCAGCGCGGAGGAAGGTGTCTTGGCACACACTCTTGCAAGTGCCTTTGCCCTGGGTGTACATCGTGCTGTGGCGGTCCCCCGTGGGCACACTGCCTCCTCATTAGCACATCCTCCTTCACCACCCCTGCCGAGGAAGGCAGGATGGGCACTCTGAGAAACAACAGCCTGCCTCAGAATACACTGAGCGGCCACAAAAAGGAGGCTGTCCATGTGTGTCTGCTATATTTACATTCCTGGTAGCAGTTTTCCTGACACGCAGACACTCTTCAGAAGGAAGCTGAGAAAGCGAGTGGCAGTTTCTCCGTGTCCAACAGTTTCTTGAATCGAGTCCAGAAAAGGAAGTATTCAAAGAAGCTTCTCTGGCACTTTCACAGCTGGTCAGCAGGAAACCCAAGTAAAGACGGGGCCCCTTCCTGCCCTGTCAAGGTGGTCCCGGGCTGTCACAGCAAAGCTCCATCTGGGAGCCTCGATTGTGTGCTTGGGCCAGCCCTGCCCCATGTCTGGCCTTCTGGGGCCACAGCAGACTGTTGGCCCCTGGGGACTTACAGTGGGGATGGGGAGACACACAGCCATTATCCTAGGAGGACCAACGAGTGCACAGTGCCCTGGAGAGGGGCTCAGTCTGGGAGCAGCCAACACTTTCAGTTGGTGCTGGCCCGTTATCCTGGAAGGAGGTTCTGTGGTCCCCAGCCCTGGTATGGGGGACGCCTTTGCCGTAAGTGAAGCACCCTTCCCTCAGGACACAACCACCGTGCCATGCTGTTTCTTCCATTTTCTCCTGTTCTTTCTGATGGTGTTCATGTGTAGGTCCCTCCCAGCTGACATCATGTTCTTAGGACAGGGAGCTGTGTCGCCCAGAGTTGGCATGAGCTGGTGCTCAGGTGCCATTGTCGATTTCACATGGTAGAAGATGAGATGTGTAAGGACGGCCTCCAGCAAGGGCCCCTGCCAAGGAGTCCAGGGGCAATTATAACCCTGAGTTATAATTGAGCTAGAGATGGAAAGAGACCAGGTTTGTAGGATTTGAAGTTTGGTTAAGGTCTCGTTCTGGTTTCCTGCCACTCCATTGCAGATGTGGAAAACCGCTCCTGGTCCTCTGGTAGAAATGGGTCTTAGGAAATGAGCCCAAGGCATCCCAAAGGATGTCTCTGCCTCAGGGCGGTGGCCCTTAGAGTCAGCAAAACTGGGTCATGGTGCAAAAAAGAAACACCCATTTCTCAGTGGTTTAAATGACACAGGCTTATTTCTTGTTCCTACTACATATCTGGGTGGGTGGTTGGGTGGCCATGGTGGTGTCTACTGCTTGTGGCCTATTAGGCACCGAGGCTGGTGGGAGAGGGCTTCAGCTTGAGGGTTCCCTCTATGTGGGTCACTGCACCCAGGCTCCCCATGCCTCTGCCTGGAGGTGATTGTTAGATCAGGACGCAAGAAAAGACCAGGTTGGGTCCATCAGTGATCCCAGCACCTCCACTCATGTGTCACTAGCCAAAGTGAGGCACACCCACCTTCCCAGCCAGCAGGCTGTTGCCATGGTCCGAGGACTCAGGAGAGGTGGAATAGCACATCTGTGAACAGCCCTAAGATGACAGATTGGCCATAGAGGGAAAATGGCTGGTGGGGAGAAGTCAGGATAGAGCTGGGTCTTCCCTGCCCCGGGGCTGAACCCATGCAGGCACCAGCAGGGCGGGCCTTGGAGAGCTGGGCTCAGGACTTTCTGTCACCCAAGAAGCCTTCCCCTTCCCTCAGCTTTCTCAGCTGATGGCTCAGCCAGGCCTGGTAGTTCTACCCCGATCTCAGTCTTGCCTGGGAAACAGCAGCCGCAGGCTGGGGCTGAAATACCATTAGGAACCAAAGGTTTCTTGGTCTCTTTTTATTTTTTTAACTTTCAGGGGGGGGGGAGGGGAGAAGAAAAATGAGATAGGAATAGAATTTTAAAAAAATAAGATAGATGCCATCTGTCTAATTCACTGGGCCCAAGGGTAGCCCAGTATTTCTAGGGAAGAGGAGTTTCTCTGACTCTCCCAGAAACATCTAGAATGTTCCCACATCCTCTCCTGACTCTTTCTTATCCAAATCTCCAGGCAGTGGGCCGTTCCTGGGAAACAGAAGTACCTACCAGTCATCTCCATGTTGGTACCTCAGTTTACCCATTAGTAAAACTTAAGCTGCGTATGTGATGAGGACAAAGGGCAAATGCACCCCTAGATCTTGGCTCATGTGCCCCAGTTACCTCCTCAACAGTGGGCATCACTAGAGCTGGGGTGCATTCACGTAGCTCATCAGGGCCACATTCCTGAGCCCCACCCTGTAAGCAGCCAGTAAAAATAGGCCCTTTTCTGTTCCAGCAAGCCAGCCTGACCTTCCTGTGGGAGCTGTGTCTCCCTTTCCAATTGGAGGCCCCAATAAAGGCTTTTCCTTAATTTTTGTGCTCATAAGACTCAATTTCACTTCTGTGTGGTAGAGTCTAAAGTTCCCAGGTCTCACACCACATCTGCCCCTTTTTTACATCATGGAGACTTGGGGACTCCATTAACACTGATTTCGGAAGACAGGGGCTCGGTTGTCATGATCTTGTCCTCTAGTTCCCTGCCACCCCCGCCTTCCTGAAACATTCTGGAAAGGGTTGCGTAGGCCAAACCAGTGAGGGGCAACCCAGGGGCTGGTGGGGGTTGCAAGCAGATGGTTTTAGGCCTGGGAACATTCTGACACAGGCGATGATTCTGTCCAAGTGCCTTTGAAGGAATCAGGCTCAACACTCTTGGTTGTTGAGGTGGGGTCTATGAACCAACAAATTCAGAGGTGCTCTGACCTGGCCCTGGGAGCACAGCAGAGCCCTTCAGAAATGAGGTGAGGCGTGTAAAAAGGGTCTCCAGATGTGGGTCACTCTGGGGACTAGGCCAAGCTGCTCAAGCTGCAGCCTAGTGGGCCTGTAGGCATTGAGGTTGTTGTAGGGGGTGGGAGGGCCATCGTGAGGCCTGGGGGAGAAGAGGGCCTGTGGAGACGGGGCTCCCCAAGGCCCATGGTAAGGCTGAAACCTGGGAGGTGGGGGAGGGTTTGGGACCAGGGGACTGCCAGGCCCCGAGGACATGGACACACTCTGGTTGTGGGGGTTGCTGCCTGTCGACGGGCTGCTGAAGAGGTTGGAGGATGTGCGGTCACTGGCAGAGCAGCTGCTGCCACTCAGACGGCCGTTGGGGATGCTGGGACCCTCTCTGGGTTGCAGGAGTGTGGTCAGCCTCGGGGACTTCAGGCCCATCAAGGGCTTGGAGGAGGCGTAGAGGTGGCGGAACTCCTCATCAAACAGCTCTACTGCCTGGCCCGTGAACTTGGAGAGGATGTTCCGGTGGACATGTCCACAGAGCCAGGAGAAGCTGAAGGACAAGAGGAGAGAGGAGGTGAGGAAGTGGGCGCGAGAGGCAGGACATGTCTGTGAACCAGGGACCTCTCAGGGCAGGAAGGGAGGGGTGCACATAAGGCCCCCAACTCCTGAGCAGGCTCATTTCGTCCTGGTGGAAACCCTGTTATCTGAACCCCGACTAGCTGTCGTTTTCCCCCTTAACAGAGGCAGACATGGAGGCTCAGACCAGGACATGTGTGCAGATGAGCAATTCTGAGGGCAATGGAGTCCCCAGCTGTAAGGCTCCCTCCTGGTGCTCAGATCAGGGCCCTGACATACTCCCTGGGGAGGCAGAAAGGAGCGGAGTGGCAGCTGAGTCCCAGCTGCCCCCACTCTGTGCTCAGAGGAGTCACTCAGCAGCTGAGGCCTCAGTCTCTTCACCTGTGAGCTGGGACATCTGCCTCTTGCCACCACTCAGGGGTCTGCAGAGAATGACTGCTAGAAGGTGGCTGCTCCTGGAATGGCCAGCTGTGTTTTTGCGATAATCTGAAGTGCTTGTGAAGAGGATCCAGCCCCGTTTTCAAGTCAGGATCTGAGAGACGGGACAGGGAGCACAGGGCACAGCCACAGGAAGCAAATGCAGACAGCTTGGGTTTATGCGAGAAAGTCATCTAAACCCCATGGGAAGACGCCCTCAAAGTCTCGCCCTGGCCCTCCATTTAGAGGACTTAGGTATTGTGTTTTGTGATTTTTCTGTTTTAAGCAAATTCTTTTCTATCTCTGATGAAAAACTTCTCTCAGCTCACCCCTACCCAAATCCTTAAAAATCCCGACAGCTCTGCCCGGAGCATCAAGCAGGGTTGCTGGGTCCCTACTCAGAGAGACCAGGTCCAGGTGGGAAGTGCCAAGGGAAGGACAGAGAGGACTTGGGTAACTAGTGGGGACAGTTCCAGAGCTAAAGAGAAAGGGGAAGCTAAGGATGGTGTCTTCAGCTTCCAGCCCTAGTCTGCCTGTCTTGTACCCAAAGGCCTGGCCCCAGCCCTAGAATCCCTGCTCTGTCAGATAGTGTGGGCCCAAATGTGACCAGGATAATCCTGGGAACAAGAATGAGGTTTTGATTAAACCGTTCTCCCCTGCTTAGGAGCCACCCACAGCCCCAGAGAGCTGGGTGCTGATGCTGAGCCAGGAGCCAGGCAGGTGGTAGGGAAGAGGGCAGACCCGGGACGGTGTGGGGCTGGGCCGTACGAGAAACCAACCAATTACACCTTGCTGTTCACAACCAGGCCAGGTCAGGCCACATGGTTGGTGGCTCTGCTAAAAAAGCAGGTCCAAAGCATCCTGGAAACTTCTTAGGCCCCTGTGTCTCTGCATGCCTGTGGCTCCCATTTCCCTCGTGCTTATCTTGACACCCCTCTGTGTGTCCCATTCATTCCCTGCATGCCCATATTTGCTCAGCACATCTGTTTATCACATGCTTTAGCTTTTACCCTCTTTCTTTCTTCTTTCTTTCCCTTTCTTTCTTTCTTTCTTTCCACAATCCATGGGGAGAAATATGCTTGATTTTTATTGTACATAGCATTCACTGAGTCATGATCTTTGGCTCGTGACTCATCCTCTTCATTGGCCTTTTCAAGGCCCTTGTTTTATTCATTTATCAATTTTATTAGGTTTTTAAAATAATGTCATCAGTGCCTATGAACCCCCACCTAAATAAAAGCTAGCCTCTTGACCATGACCGGCACCCTGCCACATGGGTGTCCCTGCAATCCATTCCTAGGATCCTAAACTTTAAAATATCAGCTTTGGGCTGGGGGTGTAGCTCAGTGGTAGAGCACTTGCCTAGCATGTGTGAGGTCTTGGGTTTAATCCTCAGCTCTGCAAAAAGAAATAGTGTAAAATAAAATAAATCAGCACCATGAACCCTCTGATCATAACTCCCTGACTTTTCTTTTTCCATAATTAAAAGCGATGTATAATATACACTTTTTTTTTTCTAAACTGGAGGTTGAATCCAGGGTGCTAACCACTGAGCAATACCCCCAGTCTTTTTTAGTTTTTATTTAGGTACAGGATCTTGTTAAGTTGCTTAGGGCCTCACTGAGTTGCTGAAGCTGGCTTTGAACTTGAGATTCTTCAGCCTCAGCCTCCCGGGTTGCTGAGATTACAGACATGCCATCACACAATCCCGGCTATAATATACTCTTGAAAGTGAGTATTTTTACTTTAGTTCTTTTTAACATGCATCTAATCTTTGGGGATATTTTTCCACTTAACAGCACCTTGCTAAGGTGTGTTCATATTGTGGCTTGTTGCCACACACGGCACTTGGGTTATTTCTGTCGTAGCAGGGCCGCTGTGAACATTCTCACACGAGCCTTCCACCATGAGTGTGGCCACATTTCCCTCAGGTGTGGATCTAGGAGTGGATCATAAAGGGCGAAGATTCAGCTTTGAGAGAAAATGCCAGACTCTCCAAAGTCATTGTCCCCACTTGCCATCCTATGAGCAATGTGTCTAAGATCCCAGGAATCCAACGCTTGGTATTATCAGTCTTTTTGTTTTTGTGTTGGTTGGAAAAGTATAAAATGTGACAAGAAGGGAAAAAAAAACCCCAAACCTCTGAGAGTTTGGAGGAGAGGAGAGATGGGGGAGGTCAGTCAGTCAGCAGCCAGGGCAGAGGACCACGGCCTTTCCACATTCCTGATGTTTGGGGGGACTCCCTATCTTGTGCCACCACAGCCTGCTCACACCCAGAAGCTTCCTCTGCGTCACCTCAGAGCCACTGCGGGGCCAGCGTGACCTCCGTGCCTCCCCAGCTTCCACTGGAAAGTGCTCCTCACTCCAGGTCCAGCCTCAGACTTCAGCTTTCCTCTGTGTGCCGTTTATTTTTATTCCACTCTATTTCATGTTCACAAAATTCTGGACATCGTCCACTAAGTTGATTTCACACCCCACTAATGGATGGTGACACAGTTTGGAAGACTTCATTCCTTAAGCCACACGGGGTGGCAGGAACCCAACCTGCTTTTATTCACTCATTCAGTCAACGAAGATTTATGGGCACATGCAACGTGCCAGGCACAGTATTTACTGCACTCGTGCCAGGAACACAATGGAGGAGGAAACAGAGCAGCCCCTCTCTGAACTCTTAGTGTTTACAATTTTGGCCAAACAAGCCTGCACACAAATGATTACAAATTGCCACGAGTCTGAAGCCGGTGAGGGCCACAGGACTCTGGATGGGGTGATCAGAGAAGGTCTCTGAGGCACTCATCTGCAAGCTGCCAGCTCAGTGTCCTAAAGACGAGGGTTTAGCAGAGCAAAAGTGGCAGAAATGAGCCTCAGCAGAGGCCCTGAGCAGCAAGAGCCAAGGTCTGGGGGTACCAAGAAGCGTGAGGACCTTAGGAAGAGCCGGTGTGGCTCCAACACGGAGGGACAGGAGACAGGCTGCCGAGAGGGAGGACTGGTAAGGATGGGGTTTTCTAAGAACAGTGACAAGAGTTGAAAGATTTTAAAGATGGGAATAATTTGATCTGGATCTTTCTGTCCCTGGGAAAGAAAAACCCATGGGTGGCATTGGGGTCAGGGCAAGGGCCAATTGGAAGTCCATGCCAGTGTCATGCTGTTTCTCATGCCGTTCCTGATGCCTGATTTTGCCTACCTTCCCCTCACTCCATGAGAACTTCCTCATCCTTCAAGGCCCAACTCTAAGCAATACTGTCAGCCTGCAGGAAGAAGGGCGGCCCTCTCTGGCCCGCCCCAGAGCACATGCTTACTCATGCTGACCTCACAGCAAACGTGCCCTCCTCCATGACCACTTCTCCTTGTCTCTTTGGATTTTTAAATTTTATTTTGAGAGAGGGTCTTGCTAAATTACTGAAGCTGGCCTTGAACTTGGGACCCTCCACTTCAGCTTCCTGAGTAGCTAACTGGGATTAAAGGTGTGCACTGCACCTGGCTTACATAAACACTTTTGGAGTGTATCCCGTGTGTCAGGTAGCTAAATATTTGCACTTGCTATTTTAGTTAATTCTCACAACAATCTTATATAGTGTTTCCCATTTTGTTCTGATGAGGAAAACAGCCCAGAGAGATAAAAGCAGAGAGCAGTTATGAACTAACAAATTCAAATGGTTATTCTCCTAGGGGAAAACGTAGTATATGATACTCTGTTTGGCTTTGTTCAGAAGTGAAAACAGTTACCAACTTTGGGAAGGTGAAAAGTTTCCCATTCTGACAACTTGAAGATGAACAGAGCTTTTGTCTCCCGGAGGTGCCTAAGGCAGGTTTATCAGAAGGAACAACCCCCACCCAGGCCCGGATCTGATCTCCCTGAAATGATCCTTGGGTTCAAAATCTCTCCACCTGCTGAGCTCCCTCATTGGTTTTCACTCTGCACACAGATAACAGGCACTTGCTTCTCTGCATTTTCTTTTCAGCCCCTTGCATTAGTAGTCTCTCAGCAGCAGCGTTCCCAGGCCTCTCCAGTTCACAGAATGCAGAATGTAGATGGTAGTTTCTGGAGGCGTGCAATTGCTCAAAAGTAACAGTCTCATCTTTAACTTTGGGGTGTGGTCTTATAAATAAGAGTTTCCGGGGGAAATCTTTTTTTTTTCTTTAATGTATCCAAACTTTGATCTATTGAAAATAGACCATTTTAAAGTGAACTGTTTAGGAGCTGCCTGCAGGGAGGGAGCTCAGATGGCACCTGCTTTGATTTCTTTCCCATGTTCCAGTCACTCTCAGCTCTTCCAGACACTGGCTCATCTCCTCTTTCCCTCTGCTGAGACAAAACCTGAGTTCCAGAGGAGAAAGTGACTAGAAGTGGGGCCTCAGTCTCTGCAAGAATTCTTAGTCACCGTTCACAATCACCCAAGGGTGGAAATGACCCCAATGTCTATAAGTGGATGAATAGATGAACAAATTGTGGTATACAATGGAAGACTGTTCAATAATAAAAAGGAATTAAGTACTGCGATTTGCTCAACCTGAGTGAACCTTGAAAACATCACGTTAAGTGGAAGGAGCCATTCACAAAATGCCATGTACCGTATGATTGTATTTATGTGAAACACCTAGAAAGGTAAACACATGGCAGATGCACATTGGGGCGTGGAGGGTAAGGAAATGACTGTTTAATGGGCATGGGGTTTCTTTTGGGGGTGATGAAAATATTTCAAAACTAGATGATGGTTGTCCGATGTTTTGAATGTACTAAATGCCATTGAATTGTGTTTTTTGAAGTGGTTATATTTATGTTATATGAATACTAAGGTGATACTAAAGTGAGAGATAATTTCTCCACACGGACTCCTCACTCCAGTTTGGCTTCTGGGATCAGGGACAATTGCCAAAATCTAACAGAAAGTGTGGGAAAATAATAGTGCCATGATTTGAATATGGGTGTGTCCCCCGGAGTTCCTTATTATTAAGGGCTTGGTCCCCAGGGGGGTGTTCTTGGGAGCTGGGGCCTAGGGAGAGGTCCTCAGTCTTTAGGCATGTCCTCAAAAGATATGTAGGGACCCTGCTGTCCCTCTCTGCTCTGATTTGAGTTGTGACCACTTGCTTCTACACACTCCTGCCATGGTGTGCTGCCCTCACTGGAAGTCAAACAAATGAAGTTGCCTGATCTTAGAATAAAAGATAAATAAAATAAAACTTTTCTCTTTATAAAGTTACTTGCCTCAGGTAGCAGGTATTTTGTTGAAGTAACACCAAGCTGACTAATGAAAATGATAAGGAAAAATGTATATTTTGTGCTATGAATTCAGTTTTATGTCTCCCAAAATTCATATGTTGAAAACCCTAATCCCCAATGAGGTGGTATTAGGAGGTGAGCCTTTGGAAGGTCATTAGTTATAAGGGTGGAGGCCTCATGAATGGGATTAGTGCCTTATAAAGGAGACCCCAGGGAGCTCCCTTATCCCTTTTGCCATAAAGGGGCAAAGACATGCTTTCACCATAAAGACAGTGAGAAGGCATGGGCCTGTGAACCAGGCGGTCGACCTTCAGAACTGTGTGAAATCAATATCTGTTGTTCATAAGCCATCCAGTGATGGTATTTTGTTATAGCTGCCCAAATGGATGAAGACACTGTACAAATCCAAGTCAATAGAAAACCAAAGGCGGAAATATGAATATCACAGAAAGCAGGATTTAAGCTCAAAGGCATTAATAACCTGAAGAAAGATGGATGTAAGCCTTTGTTTCCTTTTCCTCCCTCCCTTTATGCTCCTCCATCCCTGGCTGGGGATTCTGCAGTTGCCTCCCTGTGGCTGTTGGATGGTGTATTGTGCTCTTGCTCTGGGGAAGGAGGGCATGCTGCAGATCTCCTGATCCCCTATCCACTCAGGACGGCTGTGCTGCAAGCCTACTCTGATTCTGTCTTTTCCCGGTGTTGTCTTCCTGCCTTTATTTTATCAGTCACTGCTGGGCTCACAGGGGAATAAGGGAGATCCCCACTGCGCTCTCTGCCACACTCCTGACCTTCTCAACTCAGTGCTCACAAATGGCCTCAGCTGTTCCTCCCTTCCGTGACTGCACCCTCATTGCCTCCCTCCCAGACACCTACTATCAAATCCCCAGGGCCCACCAAGGACATTTAGCAGAATGTACTTTAGGATCTGAAGGCAAGTCTCAAAAGAGGGACCTAAGCAAGGCAGCATGTAGAATAAGTGGATGGTCAGACATTTGGATGCAGGGTCTTGATGTAAGTGGTAAAGACAAACATTTCTCCAGAGATGTGCCAAGGGCCAAGAGCACAAGACTTCAGCATCTTTAGCCTCAGAGATGCAAACCAAGCCCACAAAAAGATATCACTTCACACCGCCAGAATGGCTGTAACAACCAACAACAAGCGTTGCCTAGGATCACAGAAATTGCAACTCTCAGACATTGCTGGGAGAAATGCAAATGATACAGCCACTTTGGAATAAAAAGCTGTCAGTTCCCTGAGAAGTTAAACACAGAGTCACTCCATCGCCCAGCAATCCCAGGGAGGCACATACTGAATGAAGAGAGTTAAAAACCTAAGTCGAAGGGAATAGGAGCAGGGGATGGAGGGGGAAAGTGCTGGGGAGTGATAGAGGCCAAATTATATTGTTATATTTTGTATTGTGTACATTGTACGAATATGTAACAACAAATCCCATATTCTCTACAACTATATGCACCAATTAAAAATGTGGCCAAAAGGGCTGGGGTTGTGGCTCATTGGTGGAGTGCTTGCCTCACACATGTGAGTCACTGGGTTCGATCCTCAGCACCACATTAAAAAAATAAATAAACTAAATAAAGATATTGTGTCCATGTATAACTAAAAAAATTTTTTTAATGTAGCAAAAATTAAAAAAAAACATAAGTTAAAAACATTTTATATGAGTGTTCTTAGCAGAATTGTTCCCAAGAGTGGACATAGTACAAATGTCTATCAGTTGATGAATGGATAAATAAAATGTGGTGTGCTCCCCAGTGGTGTGAATCTTGAAAACATTGTGTTGAGTGAAAGAAGACCACATATTATATGATTCTATTCATATGAAATGTCCAAATCAGGAAAACCTATAGAAACAGGAAGTAGATTGGTGTTTACCTAGGGACCCTCTGTGCTGGGGCCATGGGGAGTGGCTGTGAATGGGCAGAGTGGATCCTTTTGGAGTGAGGATAATATTCTAATTTGGGGTGGTTGCACAATACTGTGCATATTAAAAACTGAATTGTATATTTAAGCAGGTGAACTGCTTGGTGTGTGAATTAATAAATCTTAATAAATTTGTTCTATTAAAGTAATACAAATTTAAAGATGAAACAGAGCATGGGCACGCACAATAAAAGCACATTGTAGACACACTGAAGAGATCTGAGAAGGGAAAAAGAGCAATCTATATCCTGTTGCAATATCAGGGGAAACTGAGGCACCTGGCAAGGCTTTTCTGCCCTGAATGGATACATATTTTGTGTCTCCCATCCCATCTATGTGATAAGACACCCTGGTTGCTGCTGGTGTGTGTGAGCAACTAGATGCTGGTCTGCACCTCACCTGGCCCTTGGCACCGCAAAGTCCCAAAGCCTCACCAAGAGGGAACCCAGTGCTCACCTGTAGGATCCAGACAGGACGACTCTCCAGTCTGAGATGAGGAATTTCTCCTGGATTTGGCCAGCAAATTTCCTGCCTGATTTGGCACAGTACACCTCTCCTTCCACACTCCGGATGGCAATGTTCTGTTGGAAGGAAATATCAATGTGCCACTTATGAATTGCACATTTGCAGATATAGACTGACCTGTAGGTTGAATGTGTCCCCCCTAATTCTGTGTAGAAACCTAATGCCCAGTGCAATGGTATCAGGAGGTGGAGCCGTTGGGAAGTGATTAGGTCATGAGGGTGGAGCCCTAACCAAGGGGATTGGTGTCCTTACAAAAGAGATGCCAGAGAGCTCCTTCCTCCTTCTGCCAGGTACCGGACAGAGTGAGAGGCCCTTTATGAACAAGGCTTTGGTCTCTCACTGAACGCTGACCTGCTGGCACCTTCCTGTTGGACTTTCCTGTTTCCAGAACTGTGAGAAATAAATTTCTGCTGTTTATAAGACATCCATTCCATGGTATTCTGTTATAGCAGCATGAACAGACTAAGACAGTCTGAATAGGGAAAAGTCTGGAAGGATGGTCACCAAGATGTAAACATGTGCTCTCAGGTGGATTAGGGCCATTTTTTCTTTTTGCTTGGCTAGACTTTCTAAGTTTTCCTCTTTGTCCTGGCATTAGCTGGCAATGAAAAAGGCATGGGGGGAGAGGGCAAAATTCACACAAGACAGCGGATAAAAAAACAGACAAGGGCCTGACGCCTGTGGAGTCCTCGCCTAGCTCTCCACAGGCCACAAGTCTGTCACTTATTTAGGGGCAAGCCTCCTAACTGGTTGGGTGACATGTGTTCTTGACCACAAGCTGGGCAGAGGTTCAGCCCAGAGCAGTCTAAGGGAGTGGTTTTGTGAAGCCCCAGTGGATCCTGTATGGTCCAGAGAGGGTGTGACCTCTACCCAAATCCTGGCCCTACTTGTCCTTGGCCTCCCCAGCGGCCCCTGCTGCCCGGCCCTAGTGGAACCCCTCAGAAGCCTGAAAGAAACGAAGAAGCAGGTGAAGCCTGGGGCTCTGTCTCAGGGTTAAGGCTGGGGAGGTGAAACACTGCCAGATGCCACCAATGTCGCCAGGCAGGCTCTGAGGGGCACACCCAGGCTCTCTGTGAGATGGTGGGAGGGGGACACATCCCTCTGTCCTGTGGTGAGCAGACGACGGTCAGGTGTGGCCAGTGTGCACCACGGAAGCAAGGCTGGGCCTGACTCCCTTGACCTGATTCCGTGGCCTCCGCAAAAGAGGCCTCCGACTGCTGGGGCCTGTGGCTCCATCAGCGTGGGCAGGAGGGAGGGAGGGAGGAGACTTCATCCTGCTCTGAGAGGCTCTCCCAGAGGCCAACCTGCCTGAGCTGAGGGGAGTCACCAAAGGAGTCCCGAGGACCACCCATCCTCTGTCCAGCTGAGCTACTCATGAAAGATGCGGGTGCTTTTCCCTGTGATCTTGAACTCACTGCCCTCAAGTTTGCGAGGCCAATTATCTTGTCTCTGGGTTTCTTTCCCTCCTGCCAGAGACGGAAATGGGAGGCTCAGTGAAGTCCAAGAGCCTTAATTTCCTGTTGGGCCCAGGAGTTCTGCACGTGTGTCTGCAGGTGCTGAGGTTGCCCTGCCCTGGGAGGCACATCCACTGGGCTCCCCAGCTGGGAGGAGGGGAGGGAAACATGGAGAGGGACGCTCACTCCAGGCCCAGGCATCCAGGCAGGGGCAATGGGTTACGAGTGCAAGTGATGGAAATCTCTTCTTAGGTCAGATCCTAAGAACACCCTGCAGAATCCTCCTGTCATATTTTTTCCCTCTGTCCCTGCTGTTTTGGAGGCCATGTGTTCCTTATGGCGTGGACTGGATAGAGGGAGGCCACCTGATCCATACAAGATCCACACAGCACTTACTGTGCTGAGTCATTGGACGGGGAGTGTTATTATCAAGGCAAAGCCCATTAGATCCTCACGGATACAACGTTCCCTTAGGACTCTCCTGGGGACCCCTACCTTGAGGTGACTGTCAGAGATCTGGATCTTGTCACACATCTCCTGGAAGAGCTTCACACCTCCCTGGTCCAAGAGCACACAGACGAACACGCCACGCTTGTTGGCTGCCTCTAGAATGTCACAGAAGATCTCCACATCCGTGAACACATCCATCAGGATGGCCAGGACCTGGGCCAGGCAGAGGGCTCAGTTACTGGGGAAGTTAGGGCCAGGTGCCAACTAGTCTCAGCCAAATTTACTGAGGCCCCAATCCCTGAGAGGGCCAGGGGAGAGGGAAGCAGGGGGTAGGAGGAAGGGTGAGTGAGCAGGGTTCAAGGAGGGGAAAGAGAGAGCTGGAGTGGAGGTCTCTGTCCCTGTGCTGAACCCGCCTCCCACTGCACTGTCTAGGTCCCCATGCCCATGTTGGACGGGAGTGCAGAGGGGGACAGGAAGAAGGCTGGAAGGACAGAGTGGAGGGGACAGGCACCTCATGGAGCTGGCTTTCTTCTCAGCCCCCATGGCTGTCTGGACAGGGAGGGAACCGCTCACCCTCCACCGGGTGTCAGAAAAGGAGTTCTAATAAGACCCAAGACCCATTAGAACTCAGCCCTGTTATCATAGGATTAGTTTTGCATACATTTAAGCTTACGGCACCAAAGATGGCCAGGGCCCTCTCTCTGTGCCGAAAGATAAGTGCCTCCACTTCAGAGGTACTGACGAAAGAGACAGCCTGCACTCTGATAGCTCAGTAAATCCTTCCAGTTCTGTGCCCAAGAGTCCCTGCTCCTTTGAGACAGCACTGGTGCAGAGATGGTTGACTAGAGGTTTGGAAATAAACTGGTGTTCTGATTTAAGGATATTCAGAAATATGGGTGCACAATATCTTGTCTTGTTGACTTCTTGTGGGTTTTGGCTTCCAGATGGATTAGTTTGAGGTCAATGACTGGTTTGAACTACTCTTTTTCAGTCCCTGGATGGGAGTGCCATCTTGGAGGGTGTAGCAGGTTGAGTTGTGCTCTCCCCAAATACAAGTCCACATCCTAACCACCACAATCTGTGGGTGAGACCTTATTTGGGAAAAAGTCTTTGCAGATGTAGTTACATAAAGGATCTCAAGGTGAGGTGACCCTGGATTACTCAGTGGGACCTAAGTACAGTGACAAGCGTCCTTGTAAGAGGTACCAGAAGACTGTGTAAAGACAGAGGTGGAGATTGGAGTTGGGCAGACACAGGTCAAGAAATGCCTGGAGCCGCCAGAAACCAGGAGACTGAAGGAACCCTTGAGCCTTTGGAAGGAACACAGCCCAAATGACACCCTGATTGTGGACTTCTGACACTTAGAACGGGGAGAGAATGAATTTCTCTTGTCGTAAACCAGCAAACATGTGCCAGTTTGCTCTGGTAGCCCCAGGACACTAACACAGATGGGTAGTAAAGAGGAATAGAGATGTAGGAGGGATTAGGAAACTTTGACTCCAGTCTTGGAACTTCTGGAAACCAGCTGAATGACGACATAAGTCACCTGACCTCTCTGGGTCTCAGTTTCTTTGCCTAAAAAACACTCTTCAATAATGGAGTTTTAGCCATCAAGCAATGTGGGTCTAACTATAACTTAGATAAAAGCTCCACACTCAAGTAAACATGATTTTTACATGTTGTTAAATACGAGTATCATTTTTTATATGCATTGTTCATAAGAAAGCGTAGACAACGTTAGATAATAACACTGTGCAAGACTGTGGTCTTAACACACGTTGTGGAAGAGGATTAAAAGGACTGTTCGTTCCTCTGTGGGCATAAACAAAAGGGACAGGGTAGGCAGGGCTGGATCTGGATAGGGCCAATCAGAGGGACCAGCAGAGGCAGGTGAGGCTGGCTGAGAAGGAGAAACAAGGAAGAACTTTGTATAAGACCTTGCTGAAAGGGAAGAAGCTTTGGAAGCAGAGCCTGGTGGGTCAGCTCCAGGAGTCCACAGCTTCTGAGAGATGGGCCCAGGCAGGGGGTTGCTATCTGATGGGGCAGACCCTGCACATGGGGCCAGCCTGTGGAGGGGGAGCCAATCCTGACACATGGGAGCTCCTCAGGGGCTGGAGATCTGCTGCTTCTGGAAAGGCAGGGTGTGGGAAAGGAAATGGGATTTAGGTCCTGGTGTGACCACCCCCAGTGCTGGGGACAGTCACTGGGGACACTCAGCACCCCAATCCCCAATCTGTGCTCATTCCTGCTTTTCCTTTTTCTCTTCTATATTATAATGTTCCTTTCGTTTTTGTCTTTATTTTGAAGGATGAGTAATAACAATAGCAAGGCTTTGTTATGGGCCGACGACCAGCGATAGGTCTATCTCATGAAATTTCCACAACTAGTCCCCCAGCCTCCCAGGAGAGGAGCCAGGGGACCTTCCCTAGCCAAGCAGCTGAACTATGGTAGACAAGCCCCAGACTTCAGTCCAGAACTTGTGCCCATTATTTGGCTCCAGGTCTATAAGAAGAGTACAGCCTGAGGGAGGGAAAATGAAGGAGGAATCATCCAGAAAAATAAATTCCAGTTTCCAAGTTCTCTGCCAGACAATATGATTCTATGTTGTCTCCACTCCAAATTCTCCAATGGCCTTAGGCTTGCCTAAAAAACTTGCCAGGTTTTTTGGTCTCAGGATCCCTTCCTTCTTCTCTTAAAAATTATCGACAACCTCAAAGAGCGTTTACTTATGTGGATTAAAGCTATCAATACTTAGCATATCAGAATCTAAGACTAAGAAATTTTTGAATAGTTTTCTTAATTATTTTAAGATCTCAACAGGCGACCTATTACATATTAACATAAAATGACAGGTTTAATGAAAAGAACTGGCTCTAAGACGGGTGCAGTGGCACACACCTGTAATCCCAGCAGCTCTGGAGGCTGAGGCAGAAAGATCGTGGGTTCAAAGTCAGCCTCGGCAACTTAGTGAGGCCCTAAGCAACTCAGTGAGACCCCGACTCTAAACAAAATATAAAAAAGGCCTGGGGATGTGGCTCAGTGGTTAATCACCCTGGGTTCAATCCTCAGTACCAAAAAGAAAACAGAGAAAAAAGAAAATTAGCTCTAAAAATATGGCAAGAAGAGTGACCTTGTTTCACTTGTTTCACATTTTCACGTGCATATGGTGGAGCTGGGGATGGAACCCAAGGCCTTGTGCGGACTGAACCATGGATCCGCTCTACCATGGATCCGCTCTGGGTTTACATTTTGCTGATTTCTGTGATGTCTGCCTTCACCAAGGAGTGTGGCTTCTTCTGTCTCCTGCGTCAGTCCGCTAGATTCCTGGCCTGGGTGGAAGTCTACAGAGATGATCCAGCTTCCCCTGGGTAAGCTGCGAGTAAGGAGAGGCTGGTCCTCAGGGAACCTGTGGAGGGCCTCCGCCTCCTGCAGGGACTGGTGACCACGCTAGGGAGCTGCTGTTCACACCCTTTGGCTCAACACAGAAGGCACAGCGCTGCTGCCCCACCTTCCTTGTCCCCACTGCTCACCCCTCCTCGAGGTCCCACATCCCCAAGCTCGGGTCCTCCCAGGGTCCAGTGGTGTCTGCCCACATTCAGGACACAGGAGACTTTTCAGATCCCCGGATGTTTGCATTTGACCCTCCCTAGGACTGGACTTCCTTTCCTCTCCTTCTCTGCCTGGCAAACTCTTACTCAGCTTTAGCGACTCAGCTCTGAGGCCACCTTTTGGGAAGCTGCCTGAGTCACCTTCTACCCACTTCCAGGCACTGAGGGTTGCCCAGGCCTGGGGCAGCTTCCAGAAATGTCCGATTCTCTCCCGACAAGGGGCAAGCGGACGGCAGAAGCTCCCCAAGGACAAGTGACCTCTCCTGTCCCTCTCTGCCATGCTGTGCTTTGTGGAGTAAAGGGACTGGAAGGAAGGTGGCTCCTGCTGCTTGGGGAGTGGGAACTGCTCCAGAAGGGCTGGCTCCTCAGCTTGTCCCCTCTCTCCTCCTCTCCAGGGGGATGAGGCCACAGGGGAGGGGAGTTCAGCCCACCCCTCCTCCCTCTCTCCTCCTTCTACTTCTGCAGACAGCCTGTGACCGGGCACCAACCCAACCTGCTGCCACAGCTCTGGGAACAGGCCATCCCCAAGCCCTCGCATGTGTGAGTGTGAGTGTGTGTGAGTGTGTGTGTATGTGTGTGTGTGAGTGTGTACAAGTCTATGTGTGTGTGTGCGTGTGTGTGTGTGGGGGACAGCGATATCACAAACAGCTTCAAGGCCTTAGGGGCCCAAGACAACAGGGAATAGTGGGGACTGTGTGGCAAAGAGGACCCAAGAGGTGACCACAGCTCAGCACCCTGTCTGCCAGGGGGAGCTAGAAATTCTTACTTTTAGGTGAAATCTGCAGGTTTTAGTGTTGTCCTAAATTCGTAACAGGCTGAGTTGTTCAAAGGGACATGAACAGACCCCAGGGCCACAGAGGGGGAGGGGGTGCCTTGCCAGCTGGGCAGTAGGAGGTGAGGGGCTCTGGCAGGGGCTGTGTCTCTCAGGCCCTGACTGGCCTCTTTCCAGGACTCTTGCTCTGCAGCTGCTGCTATGATGGAGGGTCTCCCTGCGACTCTGGTCTCACCCCCAGAAGGGCACTGGACACACCCCCAGAAGGGCACTGGACACACCCCCAGAAGGGCACTGGACATCTGGCTCCCAAGGCCTGTTCCCAAGTGTGTGAGCCCTGGGCTTGAGAGACACACTTGGGAACAGGCCTTGGGAGCCAGAAGGGACCTCTGTCTAGCATGCAGGCTGAGTGCCAGGAGTTCAAGGGACTTGAAAGAGGTGGCGCCGGTGGCCCCAGGCAGCCCAGGCTCCTGGCTGCCTGCCCAGACCTGTCTGTCAATCTGATGCCTCTCTGTCACAGAAACATGAAACACGCTCCAAAGCAGCCCAGTCACACGGAGCCACTCTGCCCGTTGCTACCTTCCGTTTGAGTTTCCAGAATCTCCGCTCTCCTCCCTTTCTGCATGTAGCCTCCCCACCTTGGTGGCCTTCTCTAGAACCTCAAGATTCCACACAGTATTGACTCTGGGAGGGGATTCAGTCATGAAACTGGGACTCTAGCAAAAAATAAGCTAAAATATCAGCATGTATTTTTAAGAGTTTTTTTTTTATTTTTTACTATAACAAAATAAATAGTTTTGGTTACAAAAAGAAAAATAAGACTTTTTTTTTTTTTTTTAAGCAATGGGGATTGAACCCCAAGGGCTCTGCCATTGAGCCACATCCCCGACCCTTTTCATTTTGGGTTTTCAGACAGGATCTCCCTATATTGCCCAGGCCAGCCTCAAACTTGCAATCCTCTTGCTTCAGCCTCCCAAGTAGCTAGGATTCCAAATGCAAAAACACACTTGGCAAAAATCAATCTCTACAGATGATGAATCTGTCAATCTTTACAGATGTCAAGAGTTCCTTCCTTAAAGTCCGTTCTTACTTCTGCCCCTCTGCAGCTTCTGGAGGGAGGAGAGGAGATGCATAGCCCTATGCTAAATAGTGCACCTGGGTAGGGTGAGGCCCCAAATGGCAAGTCCTTCCACTTAGTCCCCTGCTGACGGAAGTACAGGGCTCTGGAGAACTCCTGGCCTGGCCCGACTGGGCCGATGCATGCTCTGTCTTAAGGACTTCCTCTTCTAAAGTCTATATTGATTAAAATATCAATATCCAGGGAGGGAGAAACTTTCCCTGCTGTGGGCCCCATCTTCTGCCTGGCCGCTGGCTTGGTTCAGGTGCCATAGCAGCACCTGTGGGCAGGCAGGTCTAAGCAGGGTCTGAAAGGACCAGGGGCAAGGGTGTGCCTCAATGGAGAGGTCTCCCTCATTAGAGTGGGCTCCTAACCCAGCCTGGGGAATTCAGAACAGTCTTCCCCAAGAAGGAGTAGCGTCAGGGACGGCGAGGGGTGTCCAGGCAGAGGGCGGCATGCAAAGACCTGAAGGCAGAGCTTGGTGGGTGAAGAATCCACAGGGCCCACGAGGTTGAGTGGGAGGAGGTGACGGGGGCTGTGAGTCCCGAGAAGGACTTTGCTCCTCCCATTGTTGCAGACAGGGGTACAGATGGCACCAAACAGGAAAGGGGCCAAGTTAGACTTGCAGTACAGGGAAAGACTCTGCTGCAGCACAGAGACTGGGTGGTTTGGGAACCAGATGGAAGAGCAGGGCCAGGGAGGAAGTGACTGCAAGAGTCCCAATGATGGCTCTTGGAGGCTTGTGCCCAGGCTGTGACAGGTGACATTGGGAGGTCAATGATCCACAGCAAGGCAGAGCACAATGTCCCCGACTCCATCCTAAACCCCAATTACCTGGATTCTGTCCCCGAGAGCAAGACACATCCCCTCTCCCTACTCTATGTGCCACAGCCAAGAGGACACAGGACCCCCATCACTACCTGGTTGGTCCGGGTGATGCAGCGGCGTACGAGGTCTCTGATGTTGTTGTGCTTGTCCATCTGGAAGTACACAGTGGCACTGGACTTTTCCTTCAGGTAGGGCTTCTCAGCTGAGGCCCAGGTATGCAGCAGGTCTGGCTCGCTGCCCTCTGAGGCCACAGGGAAGTAGGTTCCTGATGGCAGGGAACAGGAGTCGAGTCCCTTGGGGCCTGCTTCAGCCCCTCCTGCAAGATCTGGGGCACAGGGGGGCTCCTTGGCCTGGGCCTGGATGTACTGGGTTTCCACAGAGGACAGGAAGTCCACTTCACCTTCCTGACTGAGTGCTCGCCAATAGGCCTCAGGACCCCCATCCAAGAGGGCATCTGTGGCCAGCCGCACACTCTCGTTGTCACTGAAGTCAGCCCTGGCTGGTCGGACCCACTGGCTCTTGACATCTTCTAGACGTTTCCGGATCTTGCCCACATGCCTTGACCGACTCATGTTCCCCGTCCCCCAGTCGTGGAGGGAGAGGCAGACACTGGAGCCCTTCCAGATGTGGGGAGCACGGAGCACACGGAGGAGTGGGGCTCCCGACTCTCCTGGAGACCACCTGCTTCCTGGGCTGGGTGCAGGGTACCTGCCACCCCTCCTCTGGCTCAGAGAAGTGACTTACCTCTGTCCCTGAACAATGCTTCTCAGGGATCCTCACCTGCAGCTGAGGGATTGGCTTATCTCCGAGGGCCACCGCCCAGCCCGCAGGCCCGAGGGCTGGCTCAGTCTCCACCTTGGCACAGTCAGCCATGGGATATTTCCTCTCCTCCAGCTGCGGCTGAGCCGGCTCTCCCGCTCGGTTGCACAACTCACCGGGCTGGAGCCCCAGGCCTTTGTTACAAAGCTAGGAACAATCCCCAGCCCATGGACAAGTGGGCCTGAAGGAGGAGGGTATCGGGGCCATAAGGTACCCTCCTGTGCTCCTGGGTTCAAATGCAAGAGGCAAGAATTTCCCTGGGAGACCGTACTGTGGCCATGGTGAGCCTTGGGAGGAGGAAAACCAGAATGCAGACTAGAGACCTCCAGCCACCAGGGGCTCGAAGCACCCCTCCCCGTGGTCCTGTGAATGAGCCCTCCTGTCTCTGCTTTGGTTTGTCATTGTCCTGTTTGCAGAGTCCACAAAGAGGTTGAGCCAACCCTGACCCATTGGTCTGGAGAAGAATCGGAGGCTGTGTCCTGGCTCAGGAATGGATGACATCTGTCCTGCGGCTGGAGGGCGGGGGGGCAGTACGTATGAATGAATCATGTGAACTCAGTTCTGAAGGGAATAAGCATATTTTCTCCTCAGATCAGATCATGGCCTGACAGTGGAACAGGATGTCTGGAACCTGACTGCCTTGGGTTCTGGAAGCATCTTTGAGACTTGGGGTTGAGCACAGGAACATTGGAAGGTGATTCTAAGAAGCAGGAGGTCGGGTGGATGGTGAGATAGAGGGGAGGAAGCCAGTCCAGGGCAAGTTCATGCGTAGGTGGTGTCGTGGCCATCTGGGGTTCACAGACATCCCTAGGGGCATCCAGTCCTGTGGGAACCTCTGGGTGACGGGGTAGAACACAATTCGGTTTCCTACCCGAAGGGGGAGAACGCTGCAGCCTCCCTTCCTCATCTGCAGCCTCCCTTCCTCTCTGGTGGAGGGCCGCCCCGGGCTGCTCCCCAGCACTCTGGCCTGCCATGTGATCTTCCCGGCAGCGCTGGAGCGAGCCTGAGGCTGGGAGAATGAGTTAGATGAAGCGGTGCTTCAGGAAGAGAGGAGTGTGACAGTGGTAGGTAGGAGGGACAAGAGCACGGTCCTGGGGCTGGGGCTGGAGCTCAGTGGTAGAGCACTCAGCCGGGTTTGATTCTCAGCACTGCATGTAAATCAGTGAAAAACATAAAGGTCCATCAACATCTAGTCTTCCAGAGCCAGTGTGCAGCAGAGCATGGGTCTCTCTGGGGCATTTCCACTTCTCAGAGGAAACAGCCCAGGGCCCCCAAAGCCCTAAGAAGCGGTGGCCCCCTGGCTTAGTCTGATAGTGTAGCAATGTAGCTTGAAATGCAATCCAAAGAGGAGAAGAGCAGTCTAAAGGGAATTTCTTTTTCTCTTTTGAAAAACATGGAAGGAATCCAGCTCACCATCTCAGGCAAGCTCCATTTATTCCATGTCTCTCCTCCCTACAGTCCCTGGAGCCTCAAGGGGGAAAATCCCAGTAATCCTTCTCCCTCTATCTCCTCTTTGGCTCTCTGCCCTCTCCCTCTGTCTTCTGCCAACTCCGGCTCATGGAGTTGGCTCCATCTCGTCTCCCAGAGCCTCCTCCCACTTCCCAACTCTGGTCTGAACTGTGTCCTCTTCAAACCAACCTCTGATACTGCATCACGCAAGCCCAATCCCTAGTCTAGTGAGACAGACCTGGGCCGGGGGGGTAATCATCCATGGGATTTGTTCCAGTTTATTCCATGATTCAAGAGCTGTCTATGGTTCCCCATTGCCTGCCAAGTTAAGTACCAAGTCCTCAGCCCAGCTCTTGAGACTCTGCACAAAACGACCCCATGAACACTGCAGTCTGCCCTTCCCCACCCTTGGTCCTCATGGAGGACTCACGGCATGCTGGCTGCCTGCACCAAGGGTGAAATGGGTTACTTGGCTCTGGCACAGAAGAGGAAACCGAGGCTCATAGAGGTTGAGTGACCTTTCCCGGATCACACAGCTCAGGCCCAGAGTTCCAGTGCTTCCCCATGCCAGGCTTCACCCTTCCTTCCCTCTCCTGCTTCCTTTCCACTTCCAGAGCATTGCAAGTTCTCTTATTGGCTTTAGGATGTGTGCAGGGAAGGAAAAAAGAGGTGGATGCTTATTTGGGGATGTTCCTCTCACCCGCCCTTAATTTTCTTGTTGGATGAATAAATGATGACTGCTCCCTGAGACAGCGGTGGGTCTCTGTCATATAGGGAACATTTGCTCCCTGTCCTTTCACAGAACAAACAGCTCTTTAAAAAAAAAAAAAAAAAAAAAACCTTTGTGTGGAACTTTCCCTGTTGGAACTTGGCTTCTCCTATCCCCAGCTCCTGACCCTCACACAGACCCCCAGAGACTTCTAGGGTCCTTTAGAAGAGCCAGCAAAAACTCTATACAGTGTTGATACCACCCACAGCTTCCACCTCTGCACTCGCGGCAGACATTACTAGTTGATCATAGAACTCTTCCCCAGTAAGCTGAAAACTCTCCCTTCATTGCCCTTTCTAGGGATCAAAGAGAAGCCCTCACCTGGAATCTTGGTGGTACTACAAGCCTTTAGTTTACTGATGGTGAAACTGTAGCCCAGAAAGGAGTGACTGTTCTCAGAGTCACCTGCTGGCCAGCACTTGTCATCCGCTTAGCTCCTGTCTCTTCTCTGTGGCCCAACCCTGGGAAATGTCGTCATTCTTGCTGGATCCGCTGCTGTAGTAACAAACTTCTTCACCTGGGATTGCACCACTGAACCAGGAAGTCTGACCCATGCACCCAGGAGGCCTCGTCAAAGCCCTCGACGGCAGGCACTGTGGGAGCAGGAGGTCTTGGTGTCCCTGCCTTCTTCTTCCTGTGGGTGACTGGGGTGTAGCTGTGTCCTGTTCCTGGGGCCATCCAACAGTGAGGGAAAGAACGTGAAGCTGGGCTCCTGTGAGCAAAGGCTGGTGCTGGGGCATTTGTCTAGGGCAATGGTTCTGAACCGGGGGAGATTTGGGCCCAGGGGGGATTTTCCACCCAGGAGTGTAGACGTGACTGGTGGTCATATGCGGGGAGGGTTTGCTACCTGGCATTAGAGGGGATGAGCCAAGCATGCTGCTGCATCCTCCAGTGCACAGGACAGCCCCACTGCCCCAACAGTGGACTATCTGACCAGAATGCTGAGAGTGCCGAGGCTCAGGAGCACTGCTCTGGGGCCAGGCCTGTGGGTGACTGACCCTCACCCTGTGATGACTGGCATGTGGGCGCTCCAGTCCCCTGCCATTGCTCAGGCTGTTCCCTCTGCTGGCTCCACCATCACATCCTATTCAAGTCTCAGCATCCAAGGTCTGTCCCCAACCCTACCTATGCTAGGGAGCTTTTCTCAGCAAGTGCCACCGTCTGGAGTTGCTGCTCCTCTGAGACAGCCCAGTGCTGGGGAACTCGTCTCCATCAGCCTGGCACTAGCCCTGGGTGTCCTGCTTCATCTCCCCCCCCCCCGCTTTTAGTAGGGGTCTTGGGAAAATGCATGAGCTTTGGAGTTGGGCACAGGTGGGCTCAGACTGTGCCAATGCTGCTGTGTGA